GCGTGGGTTGATGGAGATGGGTAATTTCTCTGAAATTTGACGTTATTCGCATCCGGCATTACTCCATGTCCCATCACTGTGTGAATCAGCTTGGCGGGGGTTTCACAGTTTCTGCTCCATTCCATGTCTGCACCCTGAATGTGTCTTGTAGACTCACATGGTCCGGATGGTCTGTACCTTCACCGCGACTGCGCGACACCTAGTGGTTAGCAGAGTTTTGGAATGGACGGCCGGATTGTGGTCTCGATCTTTTGATTTGCACTTAGGTGCAGCAATAGGGCATCGCGTCGCCCACAATTCTCGTTGGACTGGTAAGCTAGTGTTACTTACTTGTGAAGGCGCGTCGACAGCGTCCACAAAAGTCCACAGCGTCAGCCAACAAATCAATTGGAGGCCCCACTCGCGCTAACATTTTAGGCTTCCCCTTGTCCAGCCCCACAATTGGCCGAAGATCGCTGGCCAATTCCCACGAAGTGGAAGTCCCATCATGAGGCTCTGGCTCTTGTTTCTCCAAAACAGAACCCCGTGTGCGAACAAGGACGTCATCCTCTTCATCCTTCACTGGGACATCCATTCTTGGCCTGCATAGCTCGCACAAAATTTAGAAACACAAACAGAAACAGCAGCAAAGATTATCTCCGGATAATGCATGTTTCAGATAGGCAGTCCGAGCAACTTATCTCCAGCCATGAACCCGACACAGCGACATCCGAACAGAGACTACACGACGTCGTATCCAGACCGAGTAAACAAAATCACGGAGGTTGGGTCGATTGGTGGTCAAGTTTCCGGCTCGATCGCGTGCAGTGGTGGAATATATTCTCCGCAGCGTGCCCGGCTGTCCCTGGAAACTCCCCTCCAAGCTCCAACCTCTCTCCTCAGATTCTTGGACCTATCGTCTGAGCCCGTGTACGGTACACGCGTGGCCTGTGGAAGTGCGGAGCGCATCGTCCCAGTCAGGAACTTCCCGGCGCGAGTCGAACCTTTCATCCTGTTACCGACGGAGACATCGCCGGCAGCACTAGCGGGAAAACGAAACCACGGCAAAAAAAAGGTTGAAAAAGGGCACAAAGACCATTGGACAGTTCGGCTCCAGGTGCATGAACCTAACGTGAGACTGATGGCACGAACTGCGAAACCACGAGGCCGACGACATGATACTACTGAGGAATTGGCGGTCAGATCATGATCTTCCACTCTAAGCCTTTTTCACCTTTTGATTTCCAGCTTCTTGCGTGACCGCCAGAGTTCAAGTTTCCGGGCTAAGACACGGAGATTCCATCAACTTACCGGTATGTAATTTACAAACGTGATACATCCGGTGATGCGAGCCAAGTTTGCGAAAACAACCTCAAAACTCCGGTCGAGCGCGTTCCATTTCTGCGCATCCTTTTCCCGCTTCCATTTGGGCGGGAGCACTTGGATCGATGATCAGAAGAAGAGTCCCCGTTGTCCGCCGTTGGCTGCAACGCCAGAGTCCCCATGGGCTTTACGGCCGAAAGTGGGATTTCGCGACGACAATCCATTCCAAAGGGTCCAGCTTATTTTCCTCCAAAACCTGGAATCTTCTGAGGATTCTGGGCGCCTTCTAGGTGCTAAAACCGTTCAACAACCATCCTATCAAGTAAGTTCGGCACGTTCCACCCGCCATAACAAGCAAAGTGAAGATGGTGCAGGCCAGGCAGGTCTGCCCTGGTCCTGGTTGCATCCATCGATGCCGAATCCCCATTCCCCGCACGACTCTGCCATGAACCTGTTCCGAAGCCGGTTTTTTAGCCCCTAGCCCCCCACACCCTTGTCTGATCGATAAAGTTGTCAACAATCACAACAATAAAACGTTCGTCTGACATCACCATCAACAAACTGACTGAAAACACAAGACAAAGGGTTCTGAAGGGGGGGAGGGAAACAGTCCCACAATCAGGGCAGATGAGTTCGGATGTTAAACCGAGATTGGAGGAAATTGGCACCCCGATTTTGAGGGCCTTCCCTTTCTCGAAATCACCTGCCACGCCCACACTTTGAAGAGAAAACAAGCATGGAAAAGTAGAAGATGGGGTTTCGGAAATATTGACCAACTACCGTTACCGTATCATACCTTACCTAAATGCTGACAATAGATGACCGTCGGCCTGTCCCCGACCCCAGAAAACACGACCATCGACGGATCTGACGTTAGAATTAGGTAGGTAGTATCATACATTACATGCTACATCAACCGATACGCTGAACAAATGTACCAGGTCAACGGTGTCAATCTGCACATGAAATCGAATCCAGCACAGGCTAGGCCCTGTCTAGGGCTGTACAAGTATGTATGTAAGTGTAACAGGCACAGCTGCTGCTAGATTAACGTACTCGACTGCCAGAACCCTATAACAAGCGGTTACTATACATTTGACTACATCTGACAAGAATGATGAATGGAACGTAGAACGGAAATGTCTCCTCCTTCTCTCTTGCCTTCTTGATGATATATCCGCTCGATCCGGACTGGAACCTCGATCCAACCGATTGACTGATTGGAACTGGGGAATGAATATTAACGACACCTTGCTGTCTGTCGCTATCTTTGCAAAGTCTGGTTTCCAGACAAAGGTTTCCAGAGAAAATTCCAAGACATGTTACATTTACAAAAGCCAGGCGTCTATCTGTCATGTGAAGCATTGACATTGGACCACTCACCTCTTTTACATTGGTTGCGAAATTACATTTCCTGACCGAAATGGACGAGTGTCACCAACTACCTAATAGAAGGCAACAAAAATGGCGAACGACGTACACTCAAACTTGGCACCTACATCAAAGGTAACAAGAAAAAAAAAAAGAAGAAACAAATTCAAGGCTTTGCTTGCATCAGGTCATGATGAACCTGTCCTGCTCCAGCTTTTGCTCTCAACTCTCTTCACAGGTCCCCCTCCCATCCCGCTTTCTTCCTTTCCCGCGCGCGCGCTGTTGTGCAACAGCGACAATGGTTGATGATGATGTGCCTGTACGATGTCAGTCGGGACTGCACATGCAAGGCAGGTAAGTGAGCTGTATGTATGTAGGTTCACCGGTACCAGGAATCCTAGCTCGAGATTAGGTACCCAAGTAAAAAAAACCTCGACCATGATGCTCTTTCTCATCTTCACTTCGAAACTATATTCAGAAAAGACTGATCGATCCCGAGAAGATACGCATCGGGCATCTCATATGGTCATCGACCTGAGTTACATAGTACCTACCATTCAGCCTCCGAGGCTCAGTAAGATGAAGAAAGATTCAAACATGCAAACCAGAGACAAATACCCACGAACAAACAAACATGTATCATGCTCATGCTCATGCAGTACAGTCAGTACATCATGTACGCGCGGCATCCATCTCCCTCCATCTCCCTCCATCTCCCTCTCTCCCTCTTTCTCCTTACATACACATACACATACACATACACATACACATACATCCGCCAGATTGAACCTTTCAACCACAAGCTAATGCTCTCACACCTACATACCCAGTTCCCACGATTGACGAGCAAGCTAAAAAAAAAACTGCATAGAGGTAGGTACATGCATTGATTGCATTCTGCAAGTCTCCTCCTCCTCCTCCTCCTCCTTTTCTTGCTTCTTCTTTCCCACTTTTTTCTTTCTCACACTTCTTTCCAATCATTGATTGACACCACCACCACCATCACCTTCATTACCACGGCATAGTACCGAAAAGCCCGAGCAGACCTAAATCTTGTTTTCATCTCCATATCGACAGAACGGCATTACCTGACTAAGCTATTTCACATCGGCCTCCATCCCCAAGCTAGGTAGACAGCTCTATCAAGTAAGGTACGCAATCCCCAAACGAAAAATGGAAACCACGATAGTTACGATAACAAAATAACACAATTGTAGTAACGGCCCCATAACCTGACATGCCACTGCCGCAGAATGCTATTGAATCAGTTAATGTACATAGTTTTCGTCGTCACTTGTTAAGGGAAATATCAAGGAGTAAGTGAGCAAGTAGCTGGCTACTATCTATTTTATTCACACTTCAGTTTTACGTTGATACCCTTAGTCAGCTTCGCTTGATATTCGCCAACCTCTCTCTCCATATCTCCACCTCACTTCTTTACTCTTTAAGCTTCACACCTATACTGTTTGCCTTCATTTCCTTCCTTGCTTCAGCCCTTCTCAGCCCTGCAATTGATTACCTCACTCATCTTACTCTCGGCAGCGCGGAACTCCTCGGTACCGGCTGAACGTGCAATCTCAATCAAGCCACATAGGTACACAAGCCCAGCCTTCGCTTCACCCGGCTTCACCTTCAACACTCGCTCACCTTGTCCCGTCCCGTCCCGTTCCCCACCTTAGGTTATGCCGACGGTTGAAATGATTCATGTGAGGTAGCGAGGCTCACCCCGCAATGGACAGAAGGGAAGTTGTATATCTCAGATTCTGAACTGCGGGGGAAGAAATAAAAGTATTGTATGGTACCAAACGAGCGCGATGAAATGAGATAGTGAACTCTCGACATGGACAAGGCATCCAGCAAAAATCCGTGTTAAACGCAAGTTATTTCAACTACTTTGTGTTCACTGTGACTACCGTAGTTGTCAGTCGCGCGCAAATTCTGAACAATTGGGAGCGGAAGAATTTTAAGATTAGCCAATACAGGACACACATTTCTGAACATTTGTTTAGTAGTATCCAGTGATGGAGCAAAGCCAGTTGCAGGACACGAAGAGAACGTGCCTAGTCAAAGGCATGAAGAACAAGAACATCGCAATGTCAGACTCCAAGTTGAAGGAACATGATCGATTAGTCTAGTCAGCCCCTCGTGTTTCTCAAATCAAATATCTTACAAGAGCCCGAATCCGTTGGTCCTTCAATAATGCTAGTCTTTCTACTCAGATAATATCAACATGACCCTCCAATAACCGCCATAGTCTCTTTGCACTCCCATAACATGAGATACTATGGTCCATCAGACATAAGAAAGGAAATTATAGCCATGCTCATCCTAGACGAAGAGAAGAAGAGATCCCCAGCCGATCATGACCGTGACAGGAATGAGCAGAAGACCGACAGAAGGCGTGTTGGTGTCAGCCAGAGAATGGGTGACCTGTGCTGGAGGCGCGCCGTTTGCTGGTGCTACGCCCGATCCTCCATTGCCATTACCGGGCGCAACTCCGGAGCCTCCACTGCCGGGCGCTGATCCAGAGCCGCCGTTTCCTGGCGCTGATCCTGAACCACCATTGCCGTTCCCAGGAGCCACTCCAGAGCCTCCATTGCCTGGTCCCATGCCGCCATTGCCAGGTGCTACACCCGAACCGCCGTTGCCATTACCAGGCGCAACTCCGGAGCCTCCACTGCCGGGCGCTGATCCAGAGCCGCCGTTGCCGTTGCCTGGTGCTACTCCTGAGCCGCCGCTGCCCGGTGCGGCGCCAGAACCATCATCGGGACCACCATAGGCCATGACGTTGGCGTTCCAGTATTGCTTCTTCTCCACAACTCGCGCAGGCTGAGGGACGGTGATGGTGAGGACGAGGAATGATGAGGGACCGGAACCTGTGGGACAAGGGGTAGGTGCTGGAGCGCCTCCGTTGCCAGCGCCAGCGTCGTTGCCATTTCCATTTCCATTGCCGCCATTACCACCATTGCCAGCGCCGTTGCCGTTGCCGCTACCGTTGCCGCTACCGTTGCCGCTACCGTTGCCGTTGCCATTGCCGTTGCCATTGCCATTGCCATTGCCTCCATTCCCATTGCCAGCACCAGATCCATTGCTGTTGCCACTGCCACTGCCATTACCATTTCCATTACCGCCGCCGTTTCCAGCTCCGGATCCCGGGACAATGGCTTCGGGGCTTGGAGTTCCAATCACAAAGATGGTTTGGACGAGGGGACCTTGCATTTGAGCGGGTGAAGGGAGAGGGCCGCCAGCGCCACCACCGCCGTTGCTGCCGTTGCCACCATTTCCGTTCCCATTGCCTCCATTGCCAGCGCCATTGTTGCCATTTCCGTTTCCAATTCCATTGCCGTTGCCGTTACCATCGGGGCATGGTGCACCGCTGCCAGCGCCGTTGCCATTGCCTGAACCGTTTCCGTTATTGTTACCGTTACCAGCGCTGTTGCCGTTACTGTTGCCGGCACCAATGTTGCCGTTGCCGTTGCCATTGCTGGTACCGCCGCCCGGACCTCCGGAGCCGTAGCCAAGACCGCCGGCGCCATTACCGAGGCCTCCAGCACCATTGCCGGGACCGCCGGCACCATTGCCCAGACCTCCAGCACCGCCACCGGGACCTCCGGCACCTCCGCCCATGCCACTGCAATCTCCCATGCCTCCATTGCCATTGTTCACACCACTACCGCCATTTCCGAGACCGTTACCAGCACCATTGCCCAAGCCGCCGTTTCCTGCACCATTTCCTGCTCCCGAACCAAAGGCTCCAGCACCAGCACCAGCGCCATTCCCACCATTACCAGCACCATTTCCATTTCCATTTCCATTTCCATTGCCATTGCCTCCATTGCCCGCACCATTGCCCGCACCAGCACCATTGCCATAAGCACCAGAACCATCACCCAGACCGCCAGCTCCATTTCCGGGACCGCCGATGCCATTGACTCCGAGACCGTTGCCAGCACCATTGCCAGCACCATTGCCAGCACCATTGCCAGCACCATTGCCAGCACTGTTGCCAGCACTGTTGCCGAGACCACCGTTTCCATTGCCTTCGAGACCATTGCCTCCGAAACCATTGCCTCCGAAACCATTGCCAGCTCCATTGCCAGCGCCATTGCCAGCACCGTTGCCAGCACCGTTGCCAGCACCGTTGCCAGCACCGTTGCCATAAGCCCCAGCTCCGGCACCCAAGCCTCCAAGACCAGAGCCAGCACCATTGCCACCATTGCCGTTGCCACCATTTCCGCCATTGCCAGCGCCATTCCCAGCTCCATTGTCGTAAGCACCAGCGCCGCTTCCTGCAGGTCCAAAGGGGAAACCGGGAGGCAGGCCGCCGGCACCGAGACCGGAACCACCATTGCCGTTGCCATTTCCACTGCCGTCAGGGCAATTCTCCTTGATAGAGGTGGGATTGGTGGTGAAAAGGCGCAGAGTTGGGTTGAGCGAGTAGGGCATGCGGTCAACAGAGGGAGAGGCAACTTTGGAAGAGCCAGAGATGTAGCTCATCGGGACAGCATACTGAGCCTGGCCGTGATTGATGCAGTCATTGGAGATACGCGTGATGGCAGGGTGGTACTCTTGGGCATTGCAATTGGCCATGAAGCACTCGAACATGGTCTGTGGGAGGGTCAAGTCAGTCAAGAGCTACACACCAAATGATGGAAGAGATCAAGGGAAACTGACCTGGAGTTCATGAGTCCTCTCACAGAGGCACGCAAGTGTGGCGCACCCGGACAAGTCGAGCGCGGGAGCAATGCATGGCTGACCACAGTCGGGAAAGGCGAGAGCCGCCGTGGCGGGCGTGAGCACCAAGAGGGAAGACTTCATCGTGGAGTAGTCGTGAGCTGTTCCAGAGAGCTGATATCTCGAAAAGCCGTTCGTCGGTCGTGTGGTGTGTTGAGACTCTGTGGTGGTGTCTCGAAAAGGAAGAACACAAAAAAGAGGAGTCGATAGTTGTTGATTGAGAGCTGATAGCTGACTGCAATTCAAGTATGATCTCCAAAAAAGAAGAGGAATGATTGAAAGAGTTTGGGATACCTAATCCAAAAAGAAAGGAGAAAAGAGTGTGCTGTTCTGAAGAAGAGAAGAGAGGAAGAATCTGAGAGTGGGAGGAGGATGAGTTTAAGTATCCGGTTTCGAGGCTTTGGGAGCCGAGTGATGGTGAGCTGGGAGGTTGACAACAACGAGTGCAGAGCGGTAAGAACCATGATGGCCATGGTGCCATGGTGTGGTAGGCAACGACATCGGGGAAGGAGCAGAACGAACTAAGTGAGGCAGTTGAGATGTCGAGCACGGTACACTTTCGCTGAAAAAGGGAAATCAGCAGAAAGTCCCAGGTTGAACACAGCAGAGTTACTTGGAGTCTGCTTCTTGATTCGGTCCTTGAACGCGTGGTCTGGAAAGTGCATTTGTGACAAGAGAAGAGGTATCATTAGGAGAGAAACAGAAGTGAAGGAATACCTGCCCCTGTGCTCAATAAAAGATCAAATCCACATGCTTCTCCTCCGCCGAGTAGCGGTCTTGAAGCTCCTTCCTCGTGAGGAGCTTGATCAATGGCATCATCGTCTCCCTCATATCAGCGATGCCCCGCTTCTTCTGATCGATGTGGGAAGCGTCCACAACGATTCTCTTCAGGCTGTCAAGAGACAACGACTCTGGCCGGACGAGTTAGCAAAACCAGACAAAGCGCATGGACTGGGCTCTGGCAAGGCCGGGATGGCTATCGTACCATTTTCGATCAGATCAATCAAGCGCTGAGGAGTACCCACGGCAATTCCCGTGCGGCTCTTCTTGAGGAAGGAGACCTGCTCCTCGACTTTGAAGTGTTTGGCGAACTGTCGAACGATCAATGTCAGCAACTCGTCCTGCTTCCTTCCTTCACATCGTCACCGCGACTTACCAATTTGGCGACCGAGTTGCCCTTTGTCTGAAACTTCCTCAATGATCTGGCAGTCGTCGTGTTAGCGCAAGTCAAACTTACGAAAAGACTATGGAACCCATCACCGGACTGAACATACCTGACCAGATCCGCAGCGCGCAGACCCGCGCCCGCCACGACCAGTGTGTGCGGTGACCCGTTCGACTTGGGCGCCTCGGACAACTTGGCAGGATTCTCCGAAAACTCCTCCAGGAAGTCTGGCAGGTTGTCCTTGTTCCGGGGCTTTTGGAAGGAGGTGGTGTCCTTGATCGCGTTTGCTGTACGTCACATGTCAACACCAAGGTTCTCACTCACTCATGATACTTTCCTTTCCTTTCCTTCTTTCCCCTTGTTCAAGAATTTCTTGGTTGGCACTCACCAGAAATGTAAAGATCCGAAAGCTCGACGGAGCTGAGATCGGTCCCGAACCGTGTCACCTTCTGAGCAATGTGATCGGCCAGGAGCTGGCCGTCCATGCGCTCGAATGCCCTGTTCAAACCTGCCTCGACGTCGAGATCACCCTCGTCCTCGCGCGCCTTCTTAGATCTCTTCTTCTTCTTGGCGCCGCCCTCGTCGTCGGCCTTTCTTTTCCTGTTGATCATTTCGGTGGCCATGACTGTTCTTTGTGACTGGTTGTTTGCTGGAGGAAGGTGGTGCTTTGTCACAAGGTGGTAGGCAATGGTGCTGATGTTGGTGGTGGTGGCCAATGGAGATGGAAGCACAATATTGTCAATGTAACAATTGGTAACTTCAATGAAGATTCAGATTGCGCTTTGATAATAATATTTCATCTGGTGAATATCTCCCGTCGTTTTCTGGTTCAACTTGAAGTTTCGTTATCGATTGGAAGATCCTGAATGAAGGTTCCTGAAGCTGCCCGGCCGCCGAAAATTTCTGGAGTAAACAGTGTGCAATGTCTTGGCGGCAGGCACCACACTGTGACGTTAAGCTTACAGCGGAGCCGCGGCGATCATTTTAGCGCAAGCTGTACAGTCTGCTACAGTGCCAGACCTTTCGTAGCGGCTGAGTTTGCCGGCTTGTCGCTGTAAGAATCTACGCTGATTCTTCAGTTCAGGGCCCGGGCACCTCAGTCCCCTCGTCAACTGAAACGAGTTCAATGTTGTCATCAAAGTATATCTGCCCGGTAAACGACCTCAAAACACCATAGTCAACACAACACTTTCTGTTTCCACTGTCGATGCTCAAGGTAGATTCTAGACATCTAGAACAGAGAAGAGTTCGCCGTCCAAAGTCATAAAGTACCGTGTTCTGGACTCCTGGGGCTATTTGGGCCATCCCCTGCATCGTCAGTGCTCTTCAGTTCTGTACCTTTTTCTCCACTGCGGTTCTCTAACCAGAATTGGCAGCCGCTTTGACAAACAAAGCAAAGAACTGCTGAACGTTTCATCGCGTTCTGGGTCGTACGTAGTGTGCGTGCATCTGCTTCGTTGAAGGCTGGAATACTACAGCTATTCGCCGCTTGACTGAACTTGGGATGAATCTGAGGCGTCGTACATCGATGTTTTCATCCTCCCAGCACACCTCACCTCGGTCTAAGGCGGGCGCTTTTTCGGCATCCCATTCCGAGAATTTTGTTTTTCTTTCCTCTTTTGGTTTTATATTTCTGCATCTCCATGCATGTCGCCATTGATGCACACTGTTGATAGACGAGCGCATCATCACTGCCGTTCTAAATTTTTACTTGTCGTTACTTACTTATCAGACCGCAAGTCTTTATCGCGAACGAATACATACCTGCTACACATCTATACCTCGGAGATTGATGAGCATTCATCATCAGCCCCGTCGCGAACAATAGACAACACCAAAATAAGTAATTTAAAAAAAAAAAGGCTACTCGGGACATCCATGGCGCCTCAAACAGAAATCCCAGTTGTACGTCATCCCGCTCCCCGCCGTTTGGCAAGGCTTCGTTGTGTTACCTGCTACCCCACGGTTACCGTTACCCATTGCCATCTGAACCATCGGTTGGTATCATGGCATCTTGATAACGGCATTGCCTGTACAGCCTCAATTGATCGTGATGGTGATACTGACGGGCAATATCACAGGCCGCCAATGTACTTGGGACAATAGGAACTGTGTAAGCCTCCCCAGATACCAAACCTCCTTTCTGTCTTTTCATCCTGAACATTTCATATCTAACTAACCATGCCACATTTTCCAGCTTCTGGTGTGTCCAGCTCATCCCGCAAATATGGACCAACTACCGCACCAAAAGCACAACTGGCCTCCCGGGAACCATGATGTTCCTCTGGGCGCTGTGCGGCGTTCCGTTCGGGGTGTACGCGATAGCCCAGAACTTTAATATACCAATCCAAGTGCAGCCGCAGGCGTTTATGACGCTTTGTTTAGTTGGTTGGGCGCAGATTTTGATTTATGGGTCGTAAGTAGTCTTCCCTTCCTATTTTCTTTCTGTGGTGTTGGAATCAAGTTAGTGAGACGGTGAGATGGAGACAGATACTGACAAGGCACAAACAGAAAATGGCCAACCTGGAAAGCCACTCTCCTAGCCTTGATTGTGGCTTGCGTGTTTGCCGGTGTTGAGGCTGCCCTGATCTTGACACTACGGGTGAGTTATTCCTTTCCCTTCCCTTCCTTTATCCTCCTATTCAAAAACTGAAAATGACTAAAACAAAACGCAAAAGCCCCTTTACGAAGCAGGCAACGAAACCCCCGTCCGAGTTATTGGCATCATAGCCGCCATCCTCCTCGCCGCCGGCCTCCTGCCTCCCTACGGAGAAATGTACAAGCGGCACGGTCGGGTCGTCGGCATTAACTGGATCTTTCTGTCGATGGACTGGTCGGGAGCCTTCTTCTCCCTCATGGCCGTGGTGACGCAAAACACGTTTGACGTTCTGGGTGGTGTGCTCTACATCATTTGCGCCTTCCTTGAGCTGGGCATCTTTGCGTCACACTTGATTTGGTTGGCGAGGACGAGAAGCATAAGGAAGAAACTCAAAAATGATGGCAAGACTTTTGACGATTTGTTGGGCGAGTATGAGAAGCGGGGAGAGAGTTGGAAGTGGGCAGAGAGGGATTTAAATTTGGGGAGGTTAAAGTTTTGGGCGAGGAAGGACAAGAAGAGGGAAGAGGAGGAGGGTGAAGGGGAGATTGAGCAAAGGGATTTGGAAAAGCAGGATGTCGGTGATTCTGCTGCTGATGCTGTGGGACAACAACGTGATGGGGCTTTGGACAGTAAGATGGCGATGGCTGAGGCACAGAATCAAAACGGGAACGCGGAGGATACAGATGCGAGTACGCCTACCATGGTGGATGGGGAGAACAGGGCGGTAGACAGGGCCTGAAGGGGACGGCGTTATGGATGAACGCCGGCTGAGGATGTGCTCAAACGGAGTTGCATGTTGAAGAACCAAAACAAAGAACTGGAGAAGTTGGTTTTGGTTTTGGTTTTGGATATGATACCATGGCTGGGACTTCGCTACGGGATACGAAGGCTGTGCGAGTGAACGCATAGCCAGGAACACATCAGCTGGTTGAACATAAAAGATGAAAATAGGAACGTGGATATATGAGGAATGGAAGCCGCTGACGGCTAGCAGATAGAAATAGAATCCAAGTAGATAATTGTTATCATTGTTCTACTAACAGCCGTGTTCGAATGTATCCCGTCTGGGGATTTATTCTTCCATATTTTTTAACAAGTATATGAGCACACGAAAGACATCGATCAGATGTCAGGGTATCGTAACCAAGGAATGCAGGAGGTGAACACCACCAACTTGCCCTCCCTAATGATGGCGGAACAAGAAAATACAAGGAAAGAAACGAAAACGGCTCAAAACAACAAACAACCTCCAATGCAAATATAGAATAAGGGAAAAGGAAAGAACCTGAGCGATGAAAGCACACAATAAAAAAGCGGCTCGGGTTGATAGATGCGACCGGTTACCCTCGGCAGCTTCCAACTAAGTTTAGTTGGAGAATGCAAGCGGGATTCGAGCTGACAAGACCTGGAAATCTGAAAAAAAAAAAAAAAAAAAGGAAGAAAAAAAAAAAAAAAAAAAAAAGAGTTCCTCAATCCCGAGACCATCATCTTATTAACGCTGTGAGGCAAGGTGTTATGTAAAAGGCGTTTAGTTTGCTTCACATGATTATGCACTTGTGATCGCCCTTCCTCTTTCTCCTCCGCTTCTTCTTCATGGGCCCATGACCATCCTCCTGTTTCCCTTGGCCGTAGCCGTACCCGCTACCATTGCGTGCGCCATCGTCGTCATCTAGTTGGCCACTGTCGTCTCTTCGGAGCATTTGTCGGCAGAGGTCGATGAAGACTTCGTCAACGTTTGCTTTTTGGAAGTGTCAGTAACCTTTCTCTTTTTGAATAGGGACATGAAAAACATACTCCTCGTCCTAGCACTAGCCTCATAATAAGGCGCATTCCACTGCTGAGAAATGGTAAAGGCCTTTGCGCGATCGACGGCTCGTTGGTCTAGCAGGTCGGCCTTGTTGCCCACCATGACGATGGGTATGTTCTCGTCATCTTTAATGCGTATGATCTCTTCCCGAAGCGTGGCGAGCTCGTCTAGCGAGGCTTGCGAGGTTATACTGAAGACTAACAGGAACCCTTGGCCGGCCTTCATGTACAGGTCTCGCATAGCAACTTTTGCCAAAAAAAGTGTTAGTGAGATAAGTTCCAAGTTGAGGGGGTGTTAGTTGAGTTGAGGCGGGTTTGTTACTCACCGAACTGTTCTGTACCGGCGGTGTCGAGGCTGATGAGCTACATGTTAGCATCAACCGGTCAAAAGTGAAGTGTAAGTGAGGAAGGTCTCACATTTCCAGTATCACTTGTCGTCCCTGGAGGTCCTCGTTAGCAAATCTGGAACATAAAACATCCATTAACAGAATGGGGAAAACAAGACTTACATCGACAGCCACCTGTGTCCTGTACGAGTCCTCAATGGTTGGATCATAGCTTTCAATCCATTCATTGTGTACAAATTGTGCTGTTGTTCACATCATGTTCAGTATAGTGTTCCGTTGTCTTGTCCACACAAGTGACAGGGGTCATCCTGCAGGTGTGGTTGAATCGGGTTTAGACTTTGGGGGCACACAACATACCAGTTAAGCAACTCTTGCCGACACCACCTTAAGTAAGCCATCAAAGTCAGCAGTTGTAGCATGTGATGCGCATGTCTTGGCATAGGGGGTTTGTGTGTGTTTTTTTTGTGAGATTTTTTTGATTTTTTTTTTCCACGATGAGGTTCACAGCGAAAAGTCAAGTGAAAGAGGAGGGTGGAGCACAACATACCGGTGCCTAGGACAACGATATGGAATTCGCGGCTATAGGACGAATCAGCATCAGAGCAAAGAGGTTAGGGAGTGACAGGACGTCTGATGAGCACTGCTGTGGCCCCATTGATGTGTAAGGTAGGCTGTGCTCAAGAATAGAAATACGAGGGGGCGTCTGAAGATGGAGGCCCATCAAACATTGATGTAATATAAGAGAGTGGGTGCTCACCAAGGCTGGAATCCGTAAGTGCGCATCATGGTCAACGGGAGGAGTCCACCTCAGACAGCTGGCCAGGGCTTATACGAACTGAAGGGCAGAGTAAAAGCCAATGCACGCGTCCTGGCCCGTCACACTCTGCCCGTTTCGAAGATGCGAATGCGTTTGCGTGTGCGGTAGATATCGGGGTGGTTGTCGTCGTCGCTTTGGGGATGGGCAACTTTGATCTGATATGCTGCCCCCTTTTGCTGCGCGCCGTGTTATTTTTTGCTTCAGTGTTTGGGATCGGCTCGCCGGAATCTCCAACTTTTGCAGATCAGACGAAAAAGAGGTCAAAGCCTAGCCAGCTCGCTCCAAATAGCTCTAGCTATTCGCGGGGCGCTATATTGGCGGATGCGACGATATGCCCGCTCGGCCGTCACACCATGCAGCAGGGCACCGGGAACAATCCGGACCGTAAACCGAGAAGGATGGGGGGCACCTTTACGTGAAGGTAAATTTCTCCCAGCAAGCGATTTTGGAAGCGAAAGAAGGATGAGTCTCGAGTCCGTTCTCGCCTTCTGGGAAAGGGTATCGGTATCGGTACGTAGCAACGACCTGAGGGGAATCGCTCCGAGTCGGGATTCTGGACCGCTTTAGAAAATTTTGGGCCTCCCAATCTCGCAGGGCTCTTTTTCACTCGACTGAATTGGCGGCTGGCCCCCTCTACACAAGGTTGTTCTCGCGCGTCGTTAACGTGACTGTGACTTCTCGATCCCGTCCCAACAATCCACCCGCATGAACTGTAGAAAACTGAGCAGAGCACAACCCGAAGCAACAAGCGCCTCCGGGAGTTTGGGGGGTAAAGTATACAGCCTGCGAGGTACCTATCTCTCTCGAGGAGGGGTTGGGGGCCAAAGCGCCGGGGAAGGGCGGGAATGGATGAGCTGGAAGGGCGTGCTGAACCGTTGTTTTCCAGCTGGGCGCAAGCAAATAATTAAGCATCGATGGTTCCAACAGAAAGGCGAGAAGCCTAAACGGGTCAGAAGGGTCGTGAGGGTCTCGTCCGCCGCTTGTGGTGCCGTGGTGGTGCCCAAAGTGGTGCCCGGTGGAGTCTAGTCCGGGATGGCTTCAGAAGCCAAAAAGGCCTAGATGAGTTCAAGCCCACCGGCTGATGAGGAACCAGCGCCCCGGTTACAGGGCCGAGCCTCGCGTGCGCGTTGCTGGGTCCCAGATGTCCCGATCAAACCAGCTAGGGTTGATGTCGAGGATCCCGGCCACTGCCTTTGTAAGGATATCACGAGACGTTCGTTGATAAGACGGGGGTGTTTAGTGACTCCAATATGCCATATGCGAGCCCAGCGTGTTTGTATAGAGTCCAGACCTGAGATGGAAACGGTTCGATATCTCAAAGAAGAAGAGAACACGAAAGGCAAAAGAAAGTCCGGGGCGACCAGATTGCCTATCGTGTCCATCATAACTCCTCTTTATCCACCTCCATCATCGGCACTTGTACTTCCGCAAAGCCGCCGAGTGTCTGTCTGCCTCCAGTCATGATATGCTGTTCAGTAACCGCCGGGGACCTGCCGGAGCAATGGCCATGGTCAACTCGACGGTGGCGTCCAGCCCAACTCTGGGGATACACGACAGCCACGCCAACAAAAGAACCGTGAAGCGGAGCCAAACGGACAGACGAGACTGCCGTCCGGATGACGGATACATACTGGGTCGACGGTCCGTACCGTGGACATGGCCAAGCGACATATCTTGCTGCAAGAGACGGCGGGCGCATGACAGCCCGTCCATGTCTCGGACGGAAATACTGTGTCGTTTCGTTGCCCATTTCTTTCTTTGGCTGGCCATGAATCCATCAACTGTAGTGTACACTACTATTCGCGATTGACAATCCGAATTTATGGCTTCAGGTGGAGGCTTTGCTCCAATTGGCCTGAAATGGTTACATATCAGTTGGGACTTGGTTGCGCATCAGCTCCCCACCTCCACTCGCTGTAAGTGCCTGTCAATGCTGCAGCATGGTGTTTATTGCCCCACGATTGATACCTATTCAACTTGCAAACCATTGAATGACACATGATAGCAAATTGCCAGGTGTTGATGCCCATCTATTGCTCGTCAGGTACACACACACACACACATTCGCGGGGTTGGTGGATATCTGGAGCCGAAAGAGGAAGGGCTAACCATGTCCTGCCGAAACCCAAGTGTGCAGCGAGAGCTCCCTTCCCTCTCCCGTCGTGCTCACCTGGCCGGTCCCGCACCTGGAGCATCAGATATGGTAGGTAGTAGGTTATGCAAGAGACTGAGGGGCTCGCCGGCCGCTTCAACTTAACCTAACTGAACTCCCAAACACCCACCGTTCGACCATCCTCAACGGCCAAGCGGCCTCACCTGCGACCTTTCATTATGCAGTGACCCATGCACTATATGTCATTCAGTCGAACCAGGGTATTTAGGCGAGAAGTCAGGGTCTCCAATGGCCGACATTGAGTCCAGACCGACCTCCCGTTGCCAATCGCTGTTTTCTTTTTCTCCCAAATTGCTAACTTTACGTCTTCTGTTTCTGCCACCTTCAACCAAATAATCATCAGACGCTCTCGCCTCTTTTGTTGTCTCATGCAAAGGGAAAAAAATAGGATCCCTTGGCGATCAATAAACCCCTCTCTGACTGGACGGGATATCCTGGAAGCAAAGATCCGGCATAACTCACGATCCACGAAATACCGAGCATGTTCGCCATGTCAATATCCCGATGTCGGTCGGACTGCGACGTCTATCGGACTCTCCAGCCATTCCCCTTGTGTACTTTCTGCGAAGCTCTCACACATCAGCTACGACCTGGCACAGCACAGGTCAATAGGTTACGTCGCAGCTCGTATCTTGCTCCTTTGCCCTTCGTTCGTGCTCCGATGGACAACAACCTTCCGACGCCATCTCTCAACGTGTCACCTCCAGTTCAACCAACTAGCCAATCAACCTATACCCTCGTTTGTCGGCGATTATCTTTTTATGAAGGCTTCACCATCCGATGTTGTATACCTACAAAACACGCCAGCAGCGGCGGCGGCGGGCAACTTTCCCTCGACGAAAACATCGGGGGTTGTCATCTCATGGCCCGTGCGTCAACACATCTAGTCATCGAGTTCCAGGACCGATATCTTGCAAACCAAACTGCCCCAGCCCACTTGAGTGACAGCACTGTTGAAAAAAGCTAAGAGCTTGTAATATCTGCAAGTCGAGCCTTCCTGCTGCTGTCAGGAGAAGAGCATCCATATGAAGAAAAAAAAAAAAAATAAAATAAAAAAAAAATAAAGGTATTGGGTTCTCCTGACATTGACCTTGACTTTGCCATCCAAGACGGAAGCCAGACATTGGAGCCGTTGGCCGGGCTTGGGATAGGGTATCACTCCTGGAGATGATTCCCCGAATGACGAACCACTTGTACCTGCCAGCTTACGGTACTGAATCGGAATGCAACCCATCTCTGAATGGTGATGTCAAAGCTGCCAGGTACCAGGCAAATAGATGCATATCATACCAAAGCGATTGCTATTCCTGGCATACATTTACGCAGTAGTCTAGTGTATAGCCGGCATTGGGTTAAACAGGTTGACAGGTTGGGATGACATTGAGAAGTTACCGCTTTGGACTAGTTGATGATATTCTCAGCGCAAAGAGCATCAGCTTGGTCTCTCCTGGGGGTTTGGCATGGATATGCCCACAAGGAGGGCGGCCGTCCACAAGCCATTTGTCGTTCCGGAGGCTCAAGGCTCCAACAACTGAAGCAAGCCGGCCAGAGTTACTTAGCAACAACAACCGGTGTAGCGTTGCGCAAACCCCAGAGAACATCACTTCCAAAGCACAAACTGATACTCTCCCTAGTTGCTGACCTGGGGCTCCCTACGTCAACGGCTTCCAGTATTGCGATACTACGGGATCATGAATCTCACGATCAATCTCTTCCCCGTACACTCGCTCGCTGCGGTGGTACTCGATTTAGGTCAATAAATGGTGTATCAACTCACCAACGTTAGTAAAAGTTGGGAAACCGGTCGAAAACCAATATGCCACAGCCTTCACTCTGCTGAAAAGCTGTGCTCAACCGGAGTAGGTTTGTTCAACGATAACCCGCTAAACTTCTTGCGTCTGGATGATAACCCCAAGTCTCAATGAATCCCGGTATGACGGAGCACTGCAGCTGACTAGCGAATGCTGTGGCCGTCTTGGGCAATTTATCTCGGAGACTGAATGAAAGGTAAACTGAAGTGAAAGTAAGCTTGCGGCTGGAGCTGAGGATCACGGTTGGACAGCCTTAAACCACTTGAGAATAAGTCTCTATTCGTCAATCCCAGGACCGTCAGCGTTTTCCAAAAACGGAAATATCAATGCTAAATAACTCTGGCAACGAGTATACATAACCTTCAGTGGAAGTCATTTGCTCTTGCTTACGTTTGTGAGGCTGAAAGAACGGCTGGATGTCGCGCAGAAACAACGATGCACAGGAGTTTGAGCCTCCTCCGAACGCGATACCCGGCTCGAGGTAAGGCACGTGTAGGAAGGTAAATCACAATTCTAACCAATAGAGGGCGCGGAGATCACCGGGATTTTTGTCCCTGAACTTCTTACTTGACACATTCCACTTGACTTTCTCTTGTGGAAGTGGCTGCAGAACTTTGACATGATCGAGCAAATTTTTGACGGAGTGAACAGGTAAATAGATGTACAGCAAACGTCAAGAGCACCAAACAATAGCAACGGCTTCTCGTTGGCGAATCCAGTCGATGCAATTTTTTTTTTTCGCTCCAAGCACCTAACCCTTCAACGTATTTACTCCTCGCTCTTTACCTTCAGATCATAGACTTCTCCGTCTCCTTTTTTTTTTGTCCTGATATTACTCTACACCAATGTGACAAGATCCGCATCACCGCCGTCCCCAACTCACATCATCGTCGGCGGTGAGCGGGGGCCGCCGGGGGCCTACGGATCAGAAACGACAGAGATTGCGAAAAAAAAAAAAAAAAAAAATAAAAAATAAAAAAAATAAAAAAAATAAAAAAAATAAAAAAAATAAAAAAAATAAAAAAAATAAAAAAAAAAAATAACGGTGACAACTCCGCGATGCTGTCATATGCAGGGCGGAAAGAAAGACAGCCAGATAGCAAACCAAGATGAACGGGTCCAGACACTCACAAGCACATACACTGGGGCAAGAAAAAAACAAAAGAGAGGGAAAAAAGAAACAGCAAACAGGACACCGCCAGATCGGTTACAGTCAAGCCTCAAACGGTAAGGGGGGTTAGGTACCTCAGTGTACATATGACGTCCCGGGACTCCATCGGATCTATAGGTGATGCTAGCAATGCTAGCGATGCCTTCAATTTATAGATCTGTATATTAGATATTTGCGTACCTAGCTAGCCTCAAGGGGGTCGTCGAGTGGCAGGTGACACAGTATGTACGTGTCTACATACATAGCTCTACCTTTAGTGACTGACACGAGAGGTGAGTTCCCCCCCAGTTCACTTGCACCTATTCGTACCTTGTCGATTCTGTGGCTTGCTGAGATACGATTCAGATTGCCCAGCCACTAGCCAAACTTAACCTTTATAATAGACGCCGCCTCTGGCGCGAACTGGAGTGAACTGTAGAAGTGAACTGAAGCAAGCACACATGAGCAAGCTCGAGATTGAGGCGCACGCAAACGGACGATCAACGCGTTCGCCATGTAAACCGAGGGATCTGGCATTTGGGCTTCGGCGTGATAGAAACATGGTGGCGTAAGAGGCTTGTGATCTGTCGAGGTACTCGTCAGGATTCAGAGGCCCTTCTTACCTCCCGGGTGTCGACCATGACTTCTAATAGAACATTACCAAAAAGACTGAATAGGACAGATGGGAGAGAAGAATCTCCAGGAGCTGCTGTTGAGAGGAGATATCCATTTCCTCTTGACTTCAAAGGAAAAAAAAAGTAAACTCCACAACCAACAACGGAACATTCGAAAGAAAAAGTATTTCATAAAGGACAGGGGAAAAAAAGAAAACTTCTCGGAGCCCACCACACCACATCGCACCGCATCGGGCTATGTTTCGCCAACAGTAAATGGTCAGTTTGCCGCATTCCATTCATAGTCATAGGTCTGTGGCAATGCTCAGATACGATCAACACGTCACCGTCACCGTAAGGTCGACTTTAAGAAAACGCAGTATAGGGAAGAGAAAGATATGCAAAGAAGTCCACAAAAATCACACCGACAGACAGGCATCATCATCATCATCATCTTCTTCTTCTTCTTCTTCTTCATCGTTGAGGCAGATTCAGAAGATGACTTGTGGCTTCAACGTTGTCCGGGGTGCGCGAGTATGGCAAGGACTCGAAATCACCTCTCTGATTCTCTGTCCAAACTTGCCGTCGTTGTATCAGATAAGTGCCCGCAGGGTGTTTGCGACTGCTTGCTTTCAAACGTCTTTGGCGTACCAGCAAAGTTTGGTTTCATCAATGATGACTTTTGCTGGGATTTGGGGGAAAGCTGGTGTCCCTCGTGACCGCAGCAGGTATTTGCTTTGCGTGCCTGAACCATGATTTCCGAAATACAGCCAGTGATACACGACCTAGTCGGAAGTGAATGAATCAATGGAAGCGGTGGGTCGACGAGTTCGAGTTGGTCATTCCGTGGTCGAGTGGCTGCCGTCCGTTTGCTAGACTCAGACTACCACGGAATAGCTTCTGAACGGGCATGACGATTTACGATCGGCAATTGTGAGCGGAAGAGACGGATCAAAGGCCATCGCAAATCACATTTGTGCATTTGACTGACTGCCCACGAACGGAGACGTTGTGATGGGTCATTCGATAAACTCTCAATGTCGCAGATAATCCAGATCCGATGATGCTTCACGCCGAGTGCCCTGGTCGGACAGTTGTTTGAGAATTGAAGTGTTGTGACGAAGTGGAAGGGAAAGCTCTGGCCAAGAAAGTGCCCTATGAGGTTTCTCATCCACCTTGCACTAAAACCACAGGGTGGAGCTGAAGAATAGGTGGAGCACAGACCCCACCACCGCGCTAAGAGTGAGTGAGAGACTCACCTGCGGGTGATGGCGGCGCTAGTGTTTCCGATTTGACCTGCGTGAGGTTGCCATGAGCTGATTGATGGATTGGGGGAAAAGTCCATGGGGTGGGGCAATCCTTTGGCAACTGGCGGGGGTTCCTGCGTCAGTGCACCTCGGGTTGGAGTGGTGTTCCATTGACTCTTCTTCCCTTTCCATCTTTCGAAACACTTACCTACTTGTCCAGTTCATCACTGTACCTCAGCTGTTTCTCTCCATTTTCAATCAGACCGTCGGTGGTTTCTACGATCATGTCGTCGAAGTGATCAAAGTGCGAACTAACGAACCCAGCCCCTCTCCCGAGGGAACCGTTGGGTTGTGGCTTGAGCGGCGATGAACACCCACCCCCTCCTCCTCCTCCTCCTCCTCCTCGGCTCCTCATCCCACGAGCAAGTCTGACGCCATGCGAGACACGCCAACAGGAGACCTGCTTAAACTACCTAACTACTTCTGCCTCTGCCGACTTCCGCACGTGTTCGCCCTAACCCTTTCACCTGGCGGCCTCGTGTGTAGCCGCCACCGTTTTCTGTTTCGCCCGTAAGATTCCCACGACCGCGACGCCGCATCTCAGCCATAAAATGCTGGCATTCCTCGTGTTGCGGCTCGCTGGTGTCGCACAGAAAACGGCGTGGATATGCTCAGCGCATGTGGAAATTTCAAGTGGGAAATGGAAGACCAGGAGAAAGAAAAAGTGGCTGGCGCTCCTTAGTCTTCCTTCAGACGATTAGGTATGTCTTGGTTCCTTCAGAATAATATCCAGATCGCAAGCGCTTCTGGATGGACTGGCGATGGGTAGGCACATATTTAGCGGGAGTGGGCATCATCAGCTCATACTCTTGTATGTACATACGTTTATATGGATGTAGTGTATGCACCAGAGTGATCGTCATCTCTGGCAGATCGAATGGGGTCAGATCCGATGTCATGGCACGAAACAAGGGCACTACCGGGTGGACGGGCGCGTTTCTTTGGGCCTCTTGTCTTTCTTATGCCTATCGGTCTTTCCAGGCCTCTGTTTCACATCTCCTTGTCACCATCGACGAGTGTTTGATGAGGGTCTGGCGGGACTCGCAAGACTGGGCCCAAGTCCGACCTATATCATGCAGGGTGATTAATATATACATAGTAAGGCTGGGTGGTATCGGCTGGCACCCCCCGGTCAACGAGGGCCGTGTCTTGCCATGGACCCGAAGGCATCCAGATGCCCGTGTCCCCTTCATTTCCTCATTCCCATTCCGGACTCTCGGAACTTCGCCTTGGGCTTGTTGCGCTGCTGCTTCAGTCCTTCACCCGTTCGTCTGTCTGTCTGTCTGGATCACAGCCTCTCGGGTTTCTCCCCTCTTCTACCATACCCCCCCGCTCCGTCAGCTCCGTTCGCCATCACTTCTTTGCCTTGCCTCTCTGGTGGTTGCAGTCTAGTTGCTGCGGTGTTGCAGAGAGCAGGTGTTCCACACAGAAATCCGTCAGTTCGGACGTCTTGTGCTCGAGCCACATCTCCAACACCACCTCAACCTCATACGGTCACTTGCTTCTGCTTCTGCTTCTTGCCTTGCCTTGCGTCGCAAGTCTTGTTCTCTGAGCCAATCGGCTTCTTCCACACTCTTTTGGGTCTTCTGCTGATGCCACTCTCTTCTTCTTTTGCTTCCTAACGCACGGTCTTGACGACCTGGTTGCCTGTTCTTCGTCTTTCTTGGGCTGTAAGCTGTAAGCTCTTTGCCTCCACCGACACGCATCTGACAGCCAAGCAGACAGACTGGTTGCCCCTCTGCATTCAACAGACATCGAAATCAGCCCGTAGCTTCTGTCCTGTGTCCTGCTGCTCATTCTTGGAACCTGGATTTTTACAAGAGAACCTGGTACATTTGGCATGCCTAATAAAATTCACGGGATCATCACGACTGTTCGGAGGACTCACCCTTCCCATATTTTCGGCTCTCCTTTCCTCGCCGCCCTCGACACGCTGACCTACTTACCTGCAAGGCTGTGCCTGATCGACAACTTCAGACGTCACCTCCTTTACACCAAGTAACGGCGTACTTACGGAGTCCCTGCGTCTCTCCGTCCGTCCCACAAAGCTGAAACACAATTGGTCTTCTGGGGGCACACAGCATCTGGTCGTACTCTACCATCATCAACTCACCTCTGATTTCCAAGGTGCCCACTTTATTCACTTCCCTTCTCTTCCGAGCCGGCTCCTTGTCGGTTGTTTGGCTTCCGTTGCTGCAGACTCTCGGCCGTACGCGAACCCCAGCAGCTCAACTTGGATCTTCATCATCTACGCATCCACACATCATCGTCATCCACCCATCCGTCCCCTTCGTCGACTCGACCAGAAGCTTTGCTTCGCCACGCATCTGCAGCGGCCGGGACAGCAATACCATCCTGGCAAATTTCGGGTGATCCTGGCAGGTACAGAATCTTTCCGACTCTATTGTCATTCATTCTTCTCCATATGGGAGCATTGGCCAGTCCACGACTTTGAAAGCTCTTGAGGTATTGCCAAGGCGTCCACTCACAAGCTGTAAGTGGTCTTCGAATTCTCCCCTCCCCCCCCTGGCTTGGATGTTCAGCAGTCCCTTTCTTGCCTTGGGCATTGCAGCAGCATTCTTGTACAGTGGTTGGATCTTATGGCAAAAAACACCAAACAATCTGTAGAGAAGCTGTCCCCACAACATAGACATACTGGTCTTGTCTCTGCTTATCCCATGTCTCTTGGTGTACAGACATTGACTGACTCCTCTCGATGTTCAGGTTCTCTACGCATTTGAACTCGCTCGGCCGGGATTTATCCTCCTCAAACTAACTTCAGATTTCCTGCCCAGTAGCAGCGCTATTTGTCAGGCTCATCCCACGCGTCACGGAACAATTTCTTGGTTTTCTGTTCGGCATTTTCAGAAACCAAACCCTCGTTCGTTTGTTGCGGATACTTACACCCAGAAACCGGTTCCACAACCTTGCCTTTAGAGTTATACTTCGACCCGTTTGGAACATCCCAGCTATATCAGAGTCAGGGAGCTGGTATTGTGTGACCTCCCGGGGGGGCAGGAGAATTTCGGTTACGAAGGGCCGTCCAACGTTCGCCCTTCAGCTCTTTGAAACCCTTTTTTTGTCCCGGGGAATAGCGAGGCTCTGGTGTGTGATTGCCTTTTGGGTTTATTCACCGCCGAGTGGGTAGTTTGGGTCACCTGGAAAAGAGCTTGGTACTTCTCGATCGAATGCGAAATCAATTGTGGTGGCTTCACATAAATGAGTTCTCAAAATGGGAGAGACATGGACCGACAGCCACAGCTAGGATCTGCCAGGAGGGCGAGAGAACAGGCTGAGCCAAGGGAGGGTCCTTCAATTCGGAGGGTAGAGGCAGGGGACAATGAGCCTCAGATAGCCCGGCCCATTAGGGTGCGAACAGCAGGAGCCGGGATGCAACAGCAACAACAACGATCGCGAACTCGACGGCGACCACCACCGGCAGGACTTCAGACAAGGGAAGGCGGGATCGGAATAGCCATCTCTAGACCAATTCCGGTGGTTCCACAGTGGCCATTGGCATCACAAACCGCAGTTCCTCTTACTGGGCAGGGGCAAGATCCATATCGACCTCCAGTTGGAAAGTCACAACCACCAGTGCGGCCACCGCGACCGAGTAGAGTGCCTTCGATTTTGGACAGCTCTAGAGTGCAGGACCCCACGCCAGTCTCAGGCTTTCAGTATAGGGGACCACAGCAAGGTGGCATGGACCAGCAGCAAGAGATCCTGTCCACCGTCCCCGAGACGACGCCTTCCCTTTCCCGGTCATCCACGCTTTCGTCGTTGGGGACCATCCCCGACTTCCCACTGCCCGGCCAAATGCCTGCACCACCTCCACCTCCACGACGAAGCGTCATTCTCGGACCACCGCCCTCATCCAGACGCGGAGCGTCATCCTTCTACTCAAATGCCTCCTTGGTGTCGCCCATCCCCGAAGAAAGCCCAGGAACACAATCGAGATCCCACACGTCCTTTGCGTCCAGCGCGGCAATACCCGACAACTGGGGTACCGTTTCCCCGGGACTCAGCCCACAGTATCCCTCTACTGACCACGAGGAGCACGTCATGGGAATCCACCACGACCATGGAAACGCACCTCCGGGATACGAGGAGGATGCCGAGGACAGTCGGCTGGTCAGGAACGCGAGTGTGGGGAAGAGGGCGAAGCCTACGTTGGTGGCGGCGACAAGTCCACGCGTTGGGAAAGGAGCAAGAGGATGGGCCGGCGAGAATCAAGGGACTGATTCCGGTCCGACGACTCCTGGTACGCCCTTCCGGGACCCCTTCGCAACGGGGACGGGCTACATCGAGAACTCCAGCTCGTCGAGTACAAAGACTCCGCAGAACAAGACACCTATCGGCTCGGCTATCACGACAGATGCGATTTTGGATGCGTATAATAGTGCCAGCTCGTATGATCCAACGTCGTCGTCGAAGGAGAGGATGCCTGGGGGACGGACGTACAGTCGGTTTTCGGCCATTAGGAGACCTCCGAATCTCGACATGGATGCTGTCCGCAAAGCTCAAGCCAGGGGAAGTCTGACGAGTCTTTCGGAGCTGATACGGCGGGCAACTAGGCTGGAACAGAGTCTGGAGAACGGCAAAAGACCCGCGAGTAGGATCGAGGACCAGCTGTATGACGAGTTTGGGCACGAGAAGGACATGTCTGGTAAGATCACATTCAACTAACTTGTCTGACTCCAAAAGAGACGGATGCTAATCTCTGCAATAACAGAAAACGAAAAACACCAATCCGGCTTCTCCGACATGCTCGCCGCCTTCCCACCTCCCGCCCAGCCGCGAATCCCACCCCGCCGCTTCCGTGACTCCCTTCGAGACCAAATCCAATCCTGGCCTCTAGCTCTCACCCGTTCGCCCCACAACCACCGCGGCGACGGCAGCGACCAACCCCCTACCGATCCCAGCAATGGCGCCCAACGTGCCAACAAGAGACCCAGACGACGCATCTGCCGCCTGCCCGTCTGGGGCTTCATTCTTCTCCTCTCAGCCATCGTCCTCCTCACCGTTGCCGCCGTCGTCATCCCTCTCGAATTTCTAGTCCTGCAAAAACACAAGGGAAACGGGTCCGCCCAGCAACAGCTGCAACAATGCCAGCAACAAGTGACGTGCGAAAACGGTGGGACCAACATCGTCTCCCAGGGCTTCTGCTCCTGTATTTGTCGGAATGGATTTACAGGTTTCAATTGCAACGCCACCGCCACGTCGGGGTGCAGCGCTATGACTTGGCCCGGACTTGACGGGAACGGGGCTACGGTAGGGGCGGCCATCCCGCGGTTGGTAGCCGATGCGTATCGAAATTCCTCGATCCCTCTAAGCGGGTCAGAAATCGTGGCCAAGTTCAACGGGGAGGGTTTGTCCTGCGACGCGGAGAATGCCCTGGTGACGTTCGATAGCAGAGCGCTGAGGCAAGGGGATGCGAGGAGTCAGGTGGTCAGTTTGGATACGACTAATGATACCAATGGAAATGGAAATGGGGGTGCTGATGTGAATGCGGCTAATGTTATTGTGGATGGAGTGGAGATTACGACCATTTCGATTTTGGTCGGGCAGTTGACGACGATCACGCTGCAGGCGCCGTTGCCGGCTACGTCGGTGCCGGCGGCTTCGACAAGTGCTGCTGCTGCTGGGGGAGGGAGTGATGGAAGTGGAAGTGGTGGGAGTGGAGGAGGATCGGGGAGCGGTGGTACCGACGGTTCTGGTAATGGTGATGGAGGAGATGGCGGCGGCGACGCTGGCGGAAATGGATCTGGTGATACCGCTACGGCTACTGCAGGAAGCGGCTCAGGCTCGGGATCTGGTTCAGGATCTGGTAGCGGAAGTGGTTCAGGCTCCGGTGATGGCTCCAGCTTCACCACTATCACTACAACCGGCACCACCTCCGCCAGCTCCACACGAACCATTGCGACCACAATGACCATGGCCTCCCAGGCTCCCGGCGCCAACTTTGCCGTTACCGAAGAAATCCTCGACTTTGCTAGGGTCGCAGTCCTCTACATCCTGCAGGAGGAAGACCTTAACAGGGCCGAGGAAGCGCAGACGGCCATCCAAAAGGTGTTCTCCCAAGTTAGCGCGGCGATCATCAACGCTGGAAACAAACCTGTCAGTCTGGATACGGCGAAAAATGTTACTGTGGGGAATGGGAACTCGGTGGATTTTGTAGGGTTCAGAGTTGATGTTGGCAATGGGTTGGTGGGGGGTGAATCGCATCCCACGAGGCTACGACGGGCAGAGGGGGTGTTGGGGTGGAACTTTTTGCAATGAGGCATGTTGTTCGATCCTGTTGAATGGCAACAATTGAATATTGGGTAACGCAGTCAACGAACGAACGAACGAACGAACCCGTGACGAGAAAGACTGGGGAATTTTGCACATTCACACACGCATTCGAGCCACATTTACTTTCTCTGACTCGAGCTCACAGGAGCAAAGAACGTTTGAATATCTGGTTCTTACGAAGCAAAAAAAAACTAAAAAAAAAAAAAAAAACTGTTATTCTTTTTCATCTCCCTGTCTTTGGTCACGCATATCAATTCCTTCATTTTCTACCATGTATTAGACATATCTTTAAACATCTTTTTTTGCTTTGGTTTATGTATTATGGATGGATGGATGGATCGCATGGCATGGCATGGTCACTGGCGCGAGCGGGACCGGGAATAGGGACACTTTTTGATTTATATATACGCCGATACCGACACACTATGAATGGAATGGCCTTTCCTCTTTTTTATATGCTTTTCTTTCTTTTTTTGGGAGTTTCTGTTTGGATTTCGTCATGTTAGTGTATAATGAGGGGGATGGTTTAGATAAAGTCAACAGTTTGTAAGAGTACTAGACGACAAAAGCTGATAGCGTTCAAAACGACAGAAAGTTGGTTTCGTCCAATCTGTCCAATCATCTTGCGAATACCGTCCGAATTGGGAAGGCTTGATGCTGTAGCTGCGGAGGTGATGGAGTCTTTTTGCTGCAGGTTGGGTTGGTGGAGCCCCATACGTACCACTGCAGCTTGAGGTTCACAGCAGCATATCGAGACGTGATGATTACAGACTTGTGATATGTACAGAAAACATCTTGAGGTTATGGTTGCGTCTCACTGCCATGGCGATCATACGAACATGAATCGAAAAACAAAGCACAAAGAAAAATAAAGCGGTTGGGGAAACATGCAGCAACCCTCTACAAGCGTGGCTATGCCCTGACGATCACCTGACGCTTACGTATGCTTTCATTTCACTTGTGCTTCATTCAACGTTCCCTACATGACAAATTACATGAGACCGCGTTCGCTTGTCGAGAACATGGCTGAAGGTTTCATCTTTTCTGTCATGGGCGAGGACAGACCGCTGGGGATTGCTTGGATGGCCCCATTAAAAGCCTACGACTGTGACGCGTAATTGGCTCCGCTCCTTTGTTCCGGTTGGCCCGGGCGCCGGCTTGATCGATTGGCTATTATTACACTAACAGGCCGCTGAGGCGAAACATGAGGCGGAAGTGTTTTGGGGGGGCTTTCCATTCCATTCACTGGCCTTCATTCTCCCAACCAAACCATAATGTGGTTCTGGATTGAAAGCTAACAGAAACTGTCTTATTATTTCGTTTCATCTCTCTTTCCAACAAGCTGCCGTGTTTCTTTTTGTCACCCCGTCTTTTTTTCCATTCATTTTCGTCTTTCAACCACCTTACTGTCCAATCTGTCGGGGACTCGTAATCAATTGTACGTCATTGCACGCGTTAGTGCCCAGCTAGCAGCACTTACACTGCCCATTTCCCCCTTATCTGGGACTTACACCCAAGTCACCCACCACCCTACACACCTCGTTTTTCGAACTTCTTCCATTCAACCAACAAACAACAACCAATCTTTCAACCACAGTCACCGACAACACCATGATACCCAAACAACTCACCACCGTCGCTGCATTCTCAGCCACCCTCCTCTCCGCGAGCGGCGGCGTGTCCGCCTTCCTCATTCCTCCCGAGCTCTCCGACACCGACATCGCCTTTGCACAAGAAGTCGCTTCCGAAATCAACAACCCTCCCTCTGCCACCGGCCTCGACCCCATTACCGCCGCCGTCTCTCAACATCAACTGATCGAGCTCGCCTGCCCCGGCTGCCCCGTCCTCATCAAGGACCGTCACCACAACAAGCACCACCCCAAGGTCTTGACCGACAAGCCGAACCACTTGGAGCTGGACTTCAAGATTGATCACAGTGCTGGAACCGCGGGAGGGGACAGGTTGCTGGTCAACGGGTTCGAGCTATTTCCCAATGCTGATCCATTGAGGGCGGAGCTATGGGCTGGACAGGTTTTGGAGGGGGACGGTAATGCTCCGAAGCCTTTGCGCGACGACAAGGACTGGGTTGAGAAGATGGAGGAGGAGGAGGACGACCAAAATGATCACGATGATTTCAACGACCACGAGAAGCAACAACAACAAGAACCACAACAACAACAGGACGACGATCATAAGAAGCAGCACAAGAACAGGAAACACAAGAACCGCAAGCACAGAAACCGCAAACCCAAAACCCTCCCGCAAAACCTTGGGTTCGGTCTTCGCACTTCTTTGCCCCAGGTTTCTTCCGATCCCGCTGAGCAGGCTACTGCCGCCGCTAACCAAGAAGTCATCGATCTGAACTTACAAATCGTCGAGGTCGGCAACGCCTTTGTTTCGGGAATTCCGAGCGTGGAAATCAAGCTTCTGAGGGACTCGGTGACGCAGAAGTTGATGATTGGGAACATTGAGACTGCTGCCTCGAACGAGGACAGCGTGGTTCCGGTGCCTTTTATGGGTGTTATTCCCGAAGACCAAATGATGCAGGAGCAGGAGTGTGATAACTTCTTGTGTCGCCTTTTGGAAGGGTTCAGGGAGAAGGTGAAGGAGGGTAAGGAGGCTTGGGGGAAGAAGATGGGGGGTTGCCATGGCGACGACGATATGGAGGAGCATGGTATGATGATGCCCGCTAAGGAGGAGGAGGGCAGTGAGCGGGAGATGCCAGTGGTGGAGATTGATGTGGAAAGGATCGACATCACTGAGGGCCAGGACGGTACTTGGGAGATTGTTGCTTCCCCGGTTCAGGACGACGTCGAGCAAGAACAGAAGATCAAGAACCTGCTTGATGAGGTGCCCCAGCAGGAGTCCGAGGAGCATGGTCACCACCATGGCGGCATGCACCGCTATGAGCACAGCTGGGGCCAGTTGCTCAAGAGCATCACTACCCATGTTCTGTTGCCGGTGCTGGTTGGTATTATTGCTGGTGTGTCTGTTAGCTTGTACGTTTTTATTTCCGCTTTTTCCCCTTTCCCTATTCGAACGATCGCTAACATCATGAAATAGCATCGGCATGGCCGTCGGAACCCTCATCGTCGCTCTCTACCGCTTTTTCTACCGTCGTGGTGGCTGCAACGGTCAAAAGTGCCGTCGCCGCGGTGGTGCTGGTTGCAAGCGTGCACAGCGCCACGGCAAAGACGAAGCTGAGGCCCCTGTTGAAGAGAAGGCTGGTTTGTTGACTGCGCAGGAGCCTGAGGCTGAGGTCGAGGCGCCCCCGGCTTATGAGGATGCCAAGGTGGCTGAGGAGGGGGAGGTTAAGAAGTGAAGATTGACTCGACTTGAGTGTTCTGCATGCCGTTTTGAAACAACAGGATGGGAGGAAGTCAGGAAGGAAGTCAGGAAGAGAGAGAAAGGGTGATACAATATGTGATACCATACGATTTGTGGAAGCGGAAGGATGAGATGGATGGTCAAGCTACACCAGATTGTCACGCACATAAAGCAAATAACTGACTAGGTACGCTCCTTGGGCAAATACCATTTCCATTACTTGTACACAGAAACTGTTACCAGACATATGTCTGACCACGGCTAGCTCGCTTGGGTTGATGGGTGATATTATTGTCATGATGTTATTGTGATGCTAGTAAGGTAAGATCATTTTTCGCTGGGCCTGCTTTTCCACGTTCGCTAGGGCGGGGAAAAAAACAACAAAAGTGCTAATGCGGTTGCCCGTTATCCAATTCTCTGCTTTGTCCGCTCCTTGTCCTTCCCAATGATAAACTGAAACCCCATATTCTGTTCGTCGCTCATGGCCAAATCGGTTGGTCGGTTGGCGACCGGGCCGGTTGAGTAGTTACCTAATTACACGCCAACTTCTCCAGTCGACGAAGCGATGCAGGTTTCTGTCCCCTTACACCATCCCCTGCCCCCTCTCAGTTCTAGCCCTTCTCCACCTTCTCGCCCACGCCGCAAGACCCTGAAGGGGAACTTTGATCATGACTTCGTATGCATCCTTCCAACCAAGTTCCGGCTCCTCTTCCTCTTCTGGTTTTTCGCTAGAGGTGGTGGTTATGGACTGTTGCTCTTGGCAGAGGTAGTTGAGCCTGTTGATGTCGAGCCCGGTTTCGAGCTCGGGGAGAAGGTTGAAGTTGATCGTAGCTGTGCGTGGACCGAGGAGGTTGGGGTTGTTGTTGTTGCTGTTGATATTGTTGGAGGGGGTTGAGTTGTTGGTGAGGAAGTTGGTTGCGTTGGCAGATGATGGAGACACTGGCGGCAGTGTAGTAGTAGTTCTGGTTGTGGTAGGTTGAGCCGTAGCGGGAAGTGGAAGGCCGATGGCGTGTTGCCCTTGATGATCGGGTGCGGAGGAGGCGTAGCTCGATAGGGTGCTGAAGCTGCCAGCCCCTGGAGAAGACATCTTGGGCGTTTCTTGAGCAGTTCTGTACTTATGGATATGGTATATAGTACCAAGTATTTGATAGTGTTGTTGATGTCAAGTAAAGCGAATGAGGACAGGCCAGGTTTGACGGATCGATGTTGGGTTTGTGATTACTTAGCGAGCGAGCAGGAAGCAGAAGATGGAAAGTGCACTTTCTTTCGAGCCTGAAGTGGTTTCCTTAGTTTTCAAGTGGTTTGAAAAACCAGTAAGAAGTCTGGCTTCGATACACACGAGCGGGTTACCTCTTAGGTATGAAGCCCCAAAACGGAGCCTGCTCTATGCCCGTGAAGAAGCACCTGGAAGTATTTATTATTATTATTATTATTTTTTTATCTTCCGGACCGGGCCTGCCTTACCTTAGGTTGTTTTGAAGCTGCATTCAGGTGCTTCACTGCACAATCAGGAGGAGTGTGGCTAATCACCAGCACAGAAGCAAGGCTTTACTTTCAACTCCGCAAACGAATATAAAGACTGGAGTTATACACCACCGAAATTCCCAAGTAACACACAGCCTGGTGAATCTCACATCTATGGACCATCAAGGTGTTTGTCGTCCGTCTTCAAAATGACCCCCACGGTCCCTTAACAACCATCCATCACTTACACGACCCCTGGTGCCAAGCATTGGTGGGGCGGCACTCAGGAACTGCACCCACCTCAGCGGCCCCGGCCGTTCGGATGGAAACGCCCCACACCCACCACCAGCGGCAGCGGGGCATCGCCCAGAACTGGACTTTGATCGGAGCAAAACAGCAGCTCCACCGAGAACTTTCCTGTGTCCGGCAAATGACGAAGTTTGTCCGCATCGTTCCCCAGCTCCATTTCCGTCACAAGCCGCTCTTTGTGGTTGCTTGTTGTTGTTATTAGCAGCAGCCTCCGATCCGTTCTCTCAGCCACCACCACATAACTACCTACAGTACCTATCTACCTCTTCGGTCGATCGATCAACCGACCGACGAAACGAACGAACGGACAATGGCGGCCAGCGGGAGCATATTCCAGTGCCTCCTGCGCACGTCGCAACAGAGCTTGGGAAAGAGGATAATCCTCCAAAGACAAACAGCAACAGCCCAAGCAGCAGCTGCGACGCGATTCACGACAGCTAGACTCGGCAGAAACGCTGCCTCTACTCCCCGCCGCCAATTCACCACCTCGTCCACACGCCGACAGACTCAACAACCCGGCGATGATCCCAACTTTACTTCCATCCTCGATAACCCTCCCGAGCTTGTGCGGACCGGCAGGAGACATGGCAAGGGGTTGATTATTCTGGGTATGTCCTGATTGAGTCCCAACCATCTACAGTCTCAGCATGCGCTATGCAGCCGTAGCACTGACTAACGCATTTACCTCCTCCTCCTCTTCACAGCCATCATCCCCATCACCGCCCTCTTCCTCGGAACCTGGCAAGTCTACCGACTAAAATGGAAGACGGACCTGATTGCAAAATGCGAAGACCGCATCATCCGGGACCCTCTCCCCCTTCCCCCCCGCGTGGACCCGGCCGCCATCGCCGACTTCGACTACCGCCGCGTCTATGCCGAGGGCGTCTACCGACACGACCAAGAGATGCTGATCGGCCCGCGCATGCGCGATGGCGAACAAGGGTACATGGTTGTTACGCCCCTGGAGAGGGGAGATGATCCGAGCTCCAAGGTGCTGGTCAACAGGGGGTGGGTGAGCAAGAAGTTTGCGGACCAAAGGAGCAGGCCGGATTCCGTCAAGCAGGGCGAAAAGGTTCGTGTGGAGGGCATGCTGAGAGAGCCGTGGAAGAAGAACATGTTCACGCCGGACAATAGGCCGGATATTGGCGAGTTCTATTTCCCGGATGTGAAGCAGATGGCCGAGTTGACGGGCAGTCAGCCGGTGTGGATTGAGCAGACTATTGGTGGGTATCTCTGTTTTCTTCTCTGCCAGTTATGGACGTGGCTGGCCTGGCCTGCGTCCTATAATGGTATGATGGCTATTCTAGCTAGGTATGGTACTAACGTATGTTTGTGCGCAGTTCCCGATATTATCACCGTCTACGACTACGAGGCTCGTGGTATCCCTATCGGTAGAGTCGCCGAGGTCAACCTTCGCAACAACCATGCGCAGTACATCTTTACTTGGTATGTTCTTAACCGATGCTTCACCTCCTTCCAATTCTTGACGTACCCCTGCGGTATCGCAAATCAGTGCCCGACTAACTGGTACTTAGGTACGGTCTCGCTGCTGCCACCTCCATCATGTTCTGGCTCGTGGTCAAGAAGCCTGCGAACCAGATTACCAAGCGCGTTCGCATGAACAAGAGCTGGTAAACATGAGTTTGTGAGTGGGCAGTGATAGCTTTACTTTGTCACACATCAATGGTAACAAACACTCTCACGTCACCTCTTCATCTTCGCCGCCAACCCCAGCACGGCTAGAAGAAGCAGCCTTTCGGCGCTTCTTGACCGGAACAGGCGGCGTCATCCTCAGTTCCTGGAGGAGCTCTCTAGGAAGGTATCGTTGCGCCAAGGCAAACGGCGTGGTTTGTGCGTTGGTTTGACGTTGTCTATAGGGAAAACAAAAATGTAAGTCAGTCCGTCATGTACAATAGCTCAAAAAAAGTGTACAAAGAACACTACACAGGATATAAACAATCGGATACCCAGGGATCAAAGCAAAAGCACCAAAACATACCTCTTCATCAATGTAAGCATATCACTCATATCGATAGTCTTGCGATGTGCGTGCTTTGCGTACGCCGACAAGTCATCTCCCAACTGCTCAAAGAACCAGTCCGAAGCCTGCATGATTGCCTTGAGCGCTTCAGGCGAGATGTTCCCCTTCGCGCCGCTCGTCTTGGCGAATGTTTGCGCCAACCGCTTGACCATGGCCGGAGGCAATGATGTGTACTCGATGCCGTGTTTGGAGATCTTTTTGGTGGCTTTGATCTTGGAGAAGCCCCCTCGTTCACCACCCTCTTCCCGAAACAATCCGAGTTTCTCCCGCGCCGCCGAAGCTGAAAGTGATACCCTCGCCGCTGTTGGTGTGTAGCCTGATAATCTCGTCATCTCCTCATCCGAGCCTGCCTGGCCCTGGTCGTCTTGGTTGTTATCCAGATCCATACCCATACCGTCGTCGTTATCGTAATCGTCGTATGCTGGTCCAACATCATTTCCGTCATCGTCATTGTTGTCGTAACTGTCGCTCCTCCGGTCCATCAACTCCGCAAAACCTCCACCTTGGCCGCTTGTTGCCGCCGCTTCAGCAGCTTGACCCATCTCAAACTGCCTCGTAGGCGAAGCAATCATAAACGTGCTCTCGTCCATCCCCACCGGCACCTCAATGTGGAAATCACTATCCCTCCCTCCAGCTCCTAGCAGCAGCCCCATCCCCCCTTCCCCACCGATCGTCTCCCGTCTCCTCGTCTCGTCCGAGTCCAGCCTGCTGAACTCATCCGGTATCCTATCCTCGGCATTTCCGAAGTCGTCCTCATCAATTGCAGCAGGCGGAAAGAACCCCGAATCGATCCCATCACTCTGTTGTTGCTGTTGTAGTTGCGGGAAATCACTCAACCGCCCCATCGAATCCCTCATCCTCTGCTGGTCCTTCTCCGGATCCACCCGTCTCGGCAACTCGATACTCTGCACCGTAAAGTTCTCCGTCAGATCTTCAAGCCCTGCACTCCGATGTGGTTGCGGCAGCTCATCATCATCTTCCCAATCATCGCCCTCCCCATCCCCCGCCCCTAAACCTAAGCTGAGTCTCGGCCTCTTAGGCAACTCCTCCTCCTCTTCATCCTCATCTCCATACCTACTCCGCGTGGATATGTCAAAGGTCAACTCCTCCGACGTGTCCCCCTCCTCTTGCTCTTGTCTTCCCCCAGCAGCAGCAGATCCAGAAAGCGCCGAAGCAGGACTCGAACTACTACTCGGTATCCTCTCACTCTTGGGCGCCAACACTTTGCCTAACTGCAGCAGGAAATTACGCGGGGTCTCGCGGGCTTCGCGCAACGAGCGCCGGCGCGCGTGGTGAGGCGTAAGGATGGCGGCGCGTCGGGAGTCGATGGCGCGGTAGGCGGCGCGAACGTGCGGGGTCGCGTTGGGGTTGGGGGTGTTGTGTGCGGAAAGGAGGAGGCCGCGGGGGGTGCGGGCGCCGGGGGTGTATGCGCGGGCGTTGGGGCCGGGGGTGTAGGCTCGTGGGAGAGCTGGTACGACGGAGAGGCCGGGAGTGGCTCGGACGGGGATTTGGGAGGAAAAAGAGGGTTTTGAGGGGGTTCGAGCTGGTTGTGGATTGTTGGGGTCGGCCATTTTGATGGGAGGAAGGCCGGGCCGGGCCTAGGTAGTTTAGCGGAGAGGATTGCGACGGATGGGGATGCGATGAGGTGGGCGTCGGTGTTAGAGATAAATGGTGGTGGTGATGGTGGTGTTTGGAATGCGCTGAAGCAGTGTCGCAAGCTGTCCCGCCTGGGAATTGTTGCTATGTGTGGCGCAGGCTTCTAGCATTACAGATTTGTGAAGCTTGGCCCGAGGTGTTGTGAACTAACCTCAATGACGACGAAGTTCGGAGAGCAGCAGACGCGACGACGCGTTTGGGCTTGCCAATTGATTGTAACGGGTGCACTACTTTCACAAACGGAACCCGACAACGGGGGGTGTTGATTGCATCGGCCCCGCTTTTCTTCGAGTTTCCTTGTGAATGCCGGGTCCTGCCCCCGGCCGCCGTTCGCCTACCCCATAATTCCGCAGTGGGGCGGGTGAGCCCGACGGTCAACGCCCGGACCACAGAGGTTGGTCCCGTCGCCAGGGACTTGCCCCCTTGGATCATCACCTTATTCTCCATTCTCCACGAGTGAGCGTCCTGCTGATCTTGCGGTTGTTGTGTTTCCGAGCGTGTCTGCAAAAAGTCTCGCTTGTTTTGCTCAAATTGGCTTGGGCCATCCGTACTCATGGCAGAGCGGAGTGATGTGGTGTACGGAGTCAGTGTCGGCTTCGCTTAGTTTTGGAAACACTCTATCTACGTCACAATGCTTGGGACACTGCGGATAGGTTACTGTGCACAAGGCTCCCGTCCCGTTGTAACGTCCACAGGGCTCGCCCCGACGATACAAGTACATACACCGCCAAAAGACGGAGGTTCCGTCCGATAAGGGGGATATCGCAGCCGCTGTCAATAGTGATAGCGATAACCATGTGAGAGCTTCAGTGTTTTTGGTTGTGATCAGGCAATATCAGACAGTTCTATAACTTTTCCCACCTCCCGCCAGCCACTGCCTGAACTGGACTTGGCTAAAAGCAAGTCAGGGGCTCCCCATACACTACAACGATACCTGGCGCCTTTTTCATGGCTTGGCTTTCTTTCTCTTGGCGGTTGCTCTGACTGGAGATATGTTACAGATTGTGCTTCAAGAGCCAAATCTCAGACGTAGCCATCCGTCGTCTGATTCTAGTGTCGCTGGACGTCTGTCAGTGGCCATTAGACTTTGGCGTGACAGCAAGCAGCACCATTTACTCCACTTGGGTCGAGTTGAAACCGTTGTGCCGGCAATGATATCACCAACAGACCGAGCTTCTCCTGTCTCTTGATCCTTAGTTTCGAAACGGGTGAGTTCGGTCACCGGATGCTGATTTCCCCTATCCTCCGAATGCCAAGACTTTGCAACAAACAAAGCCCCTGATATGGATATCTGGTTAGCGCCTTGCTTCAAGTGTCCCAAAGCATCTAGTACTCTGTTGCTTGCTGCTTCGAGCAAAGAGATCTGGTCTTGTCTTTGATTACCACGATGACTGAAGCATTTGACGCCGAGGTGTGAGGAGACTTTGACCAACTCCCCAATCGAATGCCATGCCGCCGACAGGAAAAAGTGACGGGCACGTTTGGAAGGAATGATGGGATTTGAAAGGCTAAATAGCGCTCCACTTGATTTGAATCGCCAGACGGGAGAAACGGGCTGCCCTGTGGTTCAGTGCGACTTCCCCCGCCACGCCGCCACTTGTTGCAGTGACTGGAGGTGGGAAAGGGACAGTGCGCATTCCCCTTGGTCTGTCTGGGCAAGCACCGAGTGCAGTCCGTCTGGCTCTTGAGATCGATATTATCTTGAGCCGTGCTTTTGAGCGCACATTGTTGTTAGTGATCGGTGGTCTGTCTGTCTTCAGTCACTGTCAGATGAAACCTAATTGACCCAACCATCTACCACTACTACTTGACCGTCATCACTTCTTCGTTACCGCAGTACACTGCCAAGTACTCGGGCTGCCAGACTGCAACAAGTAACGAACCAAAGAGTACGTAGGACCAATGGTGAGATGGCACAGCAGCGACTCCAGCGTCACAAAGAAGCTACTTCCCAGACCGTGATACAATAAAGTAACAGCCGTAAACCCTGCCCGACTCCCGTCCCCAAGCACTGACCAGTGACGGGGCTACATCGGCATGAATAGGTGGTGGCAGCCAGCGACCAGCCAGCGGCCACCAACCAGGGCACTGGGCTTTAACGGGCGCCCAGTCCAGGCGCGCCCCAGGGCAAATTCCCAGCCTACTCCCTGTCTCCGCCGCCCGCTTCCCGCCTCTTGAACGAGGAGGACCACTTTGACAAGACCAGTGCACCATACAGGGAAGTCCACAAGTGCACCACACCTGTGCTGCCAGCCTCAACCGATTGCACCGACCGACCCAACCCTTTTTTTTCTGTATCCCAACGACTTTCTGCCACTCCGATCCGTCACTGCTGCTTTCACATCGACTACAACAACATACCAAACCTCTAATCACGAGTCCCTAATACCAATCCCACCCCCAAACCATCTATCTCAGCCATTCCCACAATGGCTGCTATCGGAGGCGTGCAGTCGATCAAGGTTCGTAGACCTCGCCAGTCCTCTCTCCGCTGACCTCCACCACCGCTCCGTATCGACACCGACACGGCCACCGCAATCGCTACCGTCCTCGTCGCGAATCCATCAAGAACCGCACAATGCTCACAAGAGAGATACTAACACTCGATTTTTGGCTTCTAGTGCGTCGTCACTGGTGACGGTGCTGTAGGAAAGGTAAACTCACTCCCACCGCTTCCCCTCTCAGAGTCACCGTGTCCCGCACCGCGCAAGGACTAACCCTTGATTGCCAGACATGTCTTCTCATCTCATACACAACAAATGCCTTCCCCGGCGAATACATTCCCACAGTGTGCGTTCAACCCATTCGACACTCTTATCTGCGATAACTAGGCCACCACTACCCCGGAAACTGACACGCGCGCTGCGATAGTTTCGATAATTACTCGGCGAGTGTTATGGTCGATGGCAAGCCCGTGAGCTTGGGTCTCTGGGATACTGCTGGACAGGAGGATTACGACAGACTGCGCCCGCTTTCGTACCCCCAGACCGACGTCTTCCTCATCTGCTTTTCGCTCGTCAGCCCTCCGTCGTTCGACAACGTCAAGTCCAAGGTGAGTAACTCTGCAATGAGGAGAGGGGGAGGGGACGCCACGCATATGGACCTACATGCTGACTTTTCCGGCAGTGGCACCCCGAGATCCAGCATCACGCCCCCGGCATCCCCATCATCTTGGTGGGCACCAAGCTCGATTTGCGCGAGGACCCCGATACCATTCAGAGCCTGAGCCAGAAACGCATGGCTCCGATAACGTTCGAGATGGGTGTCAACTGCGCCAAGGAGATCGGCGCGAGGAAGTACCTCGAGTGCTCTGCCCTTACCCAAAGGAATCTCAAGTCTGTTTTCGACGAGGCCATCAGGTAAGTCCATAGCACACCCGACCCCTCTCAACCAGATAGGAAAACGAAACGCAATATGCTGACCCACACGAAACAACAGAGCTGTGCTCTACCGCGTCGATACGACCCAAGAAAAGAAGAAGTCCAAGTGCACTATCCTCTAATTAATTCACCACAACCAACCAAACCACACCAGACATACTACCACCATCACAACACCATCACACCAACGCTCATGAGGCCATTTACCGAGGGCGCAGCGCACGCCTTGACATCAGCACAAAACAACAGGGTGTTCCATGGGGATAATTGTGAGGGGACACCATCTATACCCGGCGGACATAATTAGATGTTGATGAGATTTTCTTTTCCTGGTTGTTCCGATCGTCTCGAAATAAACTCGCAAGCTGGTTTTCGTCTCTTTTTTTTTTTCTGTCTTTTCATTCTCATCTTTTTGGATCTATCCCTCTACTACTACTACCCCGAAGAGAAAGCAGAAGTGGACCGATACGATCTCATCTATCTAGTGCCGACCGATGAAGCTGGTGTGAAGTGCATCCATTCATCCTTCAAAGTAACGGATAGGGCGGCGGGCGTATAACATGCGACGACACTCTTTTTGCAGGCAGGTGATTACGGGAAAAACTGATGCAAGGAAAGGTCACAATCGGCGGGTATGGGCGAGAAAAGGGAAGAAATGAGGGATGCGCCGTCGATTCCACGGTACAATTTCACTCGCTTGAGTAGAAGAGAATATACAAGGAGAGTCTAGGAGAATGGGGGTGGATAGGAGGATCGTATAGTGGAGGAAGGGAGGGTTAGACAGGACGAGAAGAGGAAAGAGTAGGACGGGGGGGCAAGGGGAATGTAGTCGTAGGTTGGTAGGTTAGATCGAGGGAGTGCCGTGCAAACTAGTTGAGATCAAGCCGTGGTTCACTGCATTTATGCGCTTTCTCTACGGACACAAATGAGTTCCGGTTCACCATAGCTGTTATCTACCGGGTCATTCTTGTACCACGTTTTATCTTATCCAAGCTCTCCCAATACCGTTCCGTAAGTCGTCGATCTGAACAACACCTAGAGACGAGGAGCCGACATTTCATCCCGTGATCAAGAACCTTCCTCTTCCTTCTCTTCTCTCCATAAGAATGTACTCAAAGTAACAACATGAACTAATGCCGGAAGTTGAGCGAACGTGAAATCAGTCTCTGGTGATGGACTGATCAAAGGTAAAACAAAGTTTACAATGATGGCTTTCCTCCTGCATGTCTCCAGTCTCGTTGGTGCCTCTCTTTATTGAGTTATTTCATACGGAAAGACGAACATCACATACAGTGAGTGAAGACACTGCCGATTGCGGATGAGCCGCGCAGCAACAGAGGGAGACTCAATTTGGTAGTTCGTAAACCACCAGTTGATTCGTCTTTATTCATCCATCTATCGTACGAAAAGGCTAGATGAAAAATACATATTTTGGGGTATCATAAAAGTTCCTTGCTCTCGGACTCCTTTTTGACTGAACTTGAAGTCGATATGTATCCATTTCTTCTTTCCCTTCCACACATTTCCTTGGATGAAACTTTAACCCGATCGTCGATGCAAAGTAATAATAGTATAAACAAAACGTTGACAACAACACGCTGATAAAGACACGAACAAAGAAAAAAGAAACAACAGACACCCCGCAAGGGAACCAAAAACAAGAAACAAACTGAGGTCTAGGCAAAATTCCCATCCAGAGGCGCTTTCAATGCTCAGACAAAGCATAGCAATAGCTTGTCCAAAACGTATTTCAGGAAGCCATAACCAATGCGACTCTCAAAACCCGGATCAAACCAGTCGAGCCTGGGTTTTCCCATCCCCAAGCCATCAACCGCTCCATAGGTCCTCAAACCGTCGCAGCAGCGAGTCCTACTACCACTTCTTGTAGCTACCACGACCACCACCGCGACCACCACCGCGACCACGTCCACCACCACCACGGCCACTGCCACGGCCACGTCCACCACCACGTCCACGACCGCGACCACCAAAACCACCACCACCGCCGCCACCACCGTACGAATCCTCCTCATCAAAATCACCACCGCCAGGGTTACCGTCGTACGCGACACGCGCTCTCCTCGAAGGGTGGATAGCATCCTCGTCGTTTCTCTCCGGCGCAGGAGCAGCAGCACCATCAGCAGCAGCAGCGTCACCGTCGCCGCCATTGGCCTTGGCAGCGGCCTTCTCCTGCTTCGCCTTCTCCTGGTTCTGCTGGCGGTTCAGACGCTCCTCGTTGAGCTTGCGGTTCTTCTCCTTGATCTTGTCTTGGCGGTGGGCAGTCTTGCCTCCTCCGCCGGCGCTGTTGGTTTGGGCAAAAAATAGTTATGTTAGTTAACTTTGGTCTTTTGAAGAAGATAGAAAAATAAAAAGAGGGAGGGAAGAGGAGATGTAAGTTTTGATGGGAAAAATAAAACGAACCTCAACTCAACGTTAATCTTCCTCGGTACGCCCTTGTCGTCCAACATCTCGCTGTGGTGGAACTTCTCAAGCGCCGTCTTCATGTGGTCGAAGCGGCCGAACTCGACAAAGGCGGTGCCCTTGGACTTGGTCGGGTTGTCGCGGTGGGTGAGCAGGCGGACGGAGATGGGGTGCACCGACGCGAAGTGCTCCTTGATGTTGTCGGCGGTGATCGAGTAGGGCATGTTGCCGACGAAGATGATGAAGCGGGCTCCCTTGGCGCCGTTGGCTTGCGACTGTTCCTCCTCGTTGGTGGCCTCCTCTCCACCATCCTCAGTCTTCTTCTCCTCGGTCTTGTCCTTGTTCTTCTTCTTGTCCTTCTTCTTGCCCTTCTTGTCGGTGGACTCCTCGGTCTTCTCCTCGGTCTTGGATTCCTCGGTGGCAGCGGCCTTGTCCTTCTTCTCCTTCTTGTCCTTCTTCTTGTCCTTCTTTTCCTTCTTCTCCTCCTTGGGCTCCTCGGCGGTCTCGGTCTTGGACTTCTTCTCCTTCTTTTCCTTCTTCTCCTTCTTCACCTTGGGAGCCTCAGTCTCGACCTTGGTGACCTCGGCGTTACCAGACTCGTCGAGCTTGCTCTTCTTAACAACAGCGATGGAGTTGACATCCTCCTCGGCGGTGCGCGAGCGCTTCTTGGAGTCCTTGGTAGACTTGCCCATGTTGATTGGTTTTCGGTCGTATAGCGAGGGCAATAATCTTGATTGATTTGAAGAGACAGAACCGAAGAATCGTTCTTGACAGCTGTTCTGGATCGTTTCACAAATGGGAAAGGGAAGGAAGGAATGCCTGCTCGTTTTCCCTGATTATTTTTTTCTGCCGTTTCAATTGCAAAGGCGGAGAAGGATAAGAATTGGGGTCTCGCACTTCCACTCGCAGCGCGTGGAGCTCGTCCCGCATTGGTGGGGCCGTTCGCTGCAGCAGTGGAGAAGTACCCACCGAAATGCCATCCAAGGTCACCCCCAGAATCACTTATCTCCACCATCTTGTGATTCTCAACATCATCAAGGTGTCAGCCACCTACAACATGAGAGTTTACAAGATCTCATAGCCAGTCCAAGCCATAGAAACGATTAACTGGGAACTTGGACGATGCTCATACTCACCTTCTCTTTTCCAATGCTCCGTTCCAAGTCCACGAACCACCGAGTCTCCTCCTTCAGGTCTTCCAGCAGGACCACACTCGACCTCGAACTGGCACTCAACTCACGAGCTGCGTCTTTATCGTTGTTTTGAAGTTTGCTTCGCTGTACTTTACCACCATTGCGGCGTTTTTTAGGCTATGAGCCGCCGTCAGATGTAGTGATGTGCGTTTATAGAGATAGTCTTTGGCTCCAACATCAGCCTGGGCTTTGATGACGAGGAGCTTGACAAGATGTCCACTATCTGAGATCCTCGAGACCTCGTGCAACGGCGTACACCCGAAACATCGCGGGCTACGATATCTTGCTTCATTCTCAAGCACCGAGTCGGCAACTCTCGTGGACTGGGACTTTACTATCTAGTGAAGCGCAGACTTCTTCTTATCTGCAATATTCGTACCAGCGCCAAACTCTAAGGAGAGTTCGGCTACCGCCGGTTAATCGAGATCAGCGACCCACGCAAGTGCGGTACGGCCAAACGAATCAATAACATCGAGAGAAAAAAGCTTAACCTCGAGGTATCGGGCACAGAGAGCGGGATTCCCTAGGGTTCGGGCTATAGCCAGTTGTTAAGGCGGGAAGTTGAGCGTACCTAAGAGCTCGTTATCCTCGTACAAGCGGCGGGTTTTATAAAAAAAAAGTATCGACCCGAGAGGCAGCCACAAATGCGGGCGCAACTTTTTCGATTGCTATAGTGGAGGCAGACACATCGGTGTGGTCCTCGAAATTCTTGCTCACGACATGTTCGAGCAGATACTCGCACATATCGGGTCGTTCAAGGTCGACAGCAAACTGCAAAGCCAAATGATCAGCGTCTAAAGACTCGCCGATATACAGAAAAACCTAGGGACCAGGATTACTCACATACCGGAGAGACTTGCCACCCGGGTTTACGTTGCAAGGCAACATCTGCCTATCCTTAGCCTAGGACACCAACAAGCTGCTGTACGGTTCCATAGTTGAGGATCCTCTTTATAGGCTCTACGTTAATCAACATCATTGGAATTTAAAGAGTCTAAGCTATAGGTACCCTGGAGGCTGTTCCTATTAAGTGAGAATTCTGGCTTAGAGCCCGGGATACCAGCGAATCCTATCCCGCTGGAAAAAGAGAAGAGAAAAAAAAGAAAGAAAAAAAAAGATGTCTTCCGAATCCGCACCTGAGTCGAACAGGTACCTAACCCCAACCCACCCACTCTCCTATCAAGGTCCTGGAAGCAGGCCATAGCTTGATGAGTCCACCAAGGTATGCGCTTCTCGCCTGAACGGGAGGCCTAACATCGCGGCAGTAGACAGTTGCAGGCCTTAGCTATCTCTCCTCCGTTACAAGATGCGTCCACCCGTAACGAGAAGAGTTCAAACTAAGGAAGTTCCCACAACTAGCCATACCGGCACAATGCTAGGGCACGTATGTACAGATCAGGTATTTCTCCGTCCCTGCAACTTCTCACAAACTGCTAATATGACTCTACGTGTCTCACCGAACGAGTTGCCAGAATGCTCCTCTGACGACAGCGGTAGCCGGTGTCATCTCTTTGGGGAATATGACCATACTCTGGATCAGGGAGTTGGAAAATTCCCATGTGACTGTTCCCGGTCCGGGTCGAACTGGGAACCTCGTGGTGGTAGCAGTCATACCGGTTTGTGGAAGTATGGGTTGAACAAGGTTGTGTGCTGCCCATTACACCAACGGACCACCGCTCGGGTGTGTGAAAGACTGGATGTGGTGGAAGGAAGGCCTGGAACTGGGGCTTATAAGGGTAGGAGCCACCACCGGTTGGGGCGGGGCGGCCGGCCGGTCAAAGTGAGGTGTGCCTGCCGGTTGGAAGCCGGATTTGGCGAGTGACGGGCGCCGGGCGGTTGTCAGCTGGAGGGAGAGAACGGCGGAAGACATGTCCATAGGAGGGAGCGAAAACCTTGGAACTCGAGGATACCCCGGAGAGAATGATTCCACGACCCTTTGACATGAACACAGATCGGAGAGTTCAACAGCCAGCACAAGGACACTTCAGGAAAACATCCGGTTCCGGGACGACCACCGTGCAATGACAGATAAGCAGTCGCTAAACGGACCACCCAGTCGGCATCCTTGCCGCCACTCGAATCAACATACATGTTTCGTCGTGCGAGGGTCAAGTGAAGCTGTCCATCTATGTTCCCAGCCTGTGACACAACCCTCGGCGTTTCTCCTCTCCTCCCTCCCCAAAAACCCAGTCTTCAACCCTCAACCCTCAAGCTCCTTCAAAGCCCTATCAACCATCCTCTTCACCTGCATCCACCTCATCGACAACAACCCCCTATGACACTCCCTCCCGACTACACCTTCATGTCCCTCTCTCCACTCCAACTTATCCAACCCGTCCCGAATCTTCTTTTCAATAACATCTGAGCTCCATCGCTTCAGCGCTTGTGCCAACAATGCATTCAGCTTCGCCTGTTCCTCCGGCGATTCCTCCCACGGGTCTTGGCCGTAGTCGATGAAGGCCCGGAACTTCTTTTCACCTTGCGGCCCTGGGCTGTCTGCGAGAGCAGAAAGGGCGCGAAGTGCGACCTGTGTGCGGTAGCAGCCTGTGGGGTTGCGCGGATCGAGGTTGTAGTTGCCTAGGAAGCCGGTTTCCTCGAGGATTTCTTTGGGGGATTTTGGTGGTTGCTGTTGGGACGCTTGTGACTTGGGCTCTTTTTTTCCTCGTTCGTTGAGTCTTCGAGTTACTTTCCTTGGTGGTTGCTGCTGCTGCTGTTGGGATTGGGAGTGGGTTTGGGCTTGGTCGAGTAAAGGAAGGATGGCATCATCTATGCAGACTTCGTCCCAGACGTTTTCGTCAAAGAGAAAGCCATATTCGATCAGGAGGAAATCGTTGGAGTGGTTGCCGTAGCAGATGTAGACTTCTTCGCCAGCGGCGTAGGGGCGGGTGGTGGTGATGGTGAAGGCGGTCGGTGAGAAGGCGACTGAGCAGGTTTTCTTGTTGCCTTCCTTCTCCTCGGTTGATGGGTCATACGAGGTGTGGTTAAACAAGTCTGCGACTGGTTGCAGGACCATTCTGTCATCTTTATTGAACTTCTTCGTCTTTGGGGTTTCATGGTAGAAGGTGCGGGTGTTGACGAGGAGCCAGGCATAGAGGTAGTCATCTCTTGTTATGCCCTTATTCAGTGTTCCGCATTCTTCCTCTTCCAAGCTCTTGTTCTCTTTCTGGCCAGGCCCTGAAGAGAGGAGCTTAGACTGTTGGACCATGGACCAGTCTTTCTCAAATTTGGCCTCCTGCTTTAGAAGCAACTCCAGCGCCTTTCTGGGCAAAAACTCTCGCAGTTGGTGATCCCATGTTAGAGGCAAATAGTCCCAGATATCTTCACGCGAAGGACAGACGGTGTTCCATTGCCGATACTTGACGGACGGAGAAGGGTCGAAGGCGAGATCGGCGGCTAGGAGGCCGTGAATGGAGATGTCCTTAGGCAGGGCACGGGATATGGAAGGGTGGACGGTTTCATACGTCCGGAGGGTGGTAGAGGGAACTGTTAGAATAGTTTCGTCTTCCTGGTGATATTGTTAGTTGATTTAAACCAATAGTCCAAGGTGATGAGAATGACTTACCTCGAGTGGCTTTGTAGCCACTATTCCCATACCTCGGCCTGGTATCCGCCTGGGCTCGACGCCGTTGAGATTGATACCTTTATCTTTTGCCCATATGAGTAGCTCTTCGTATGCTTCCATATTGAGAGCCTTTATCTGGCTTTTTTCTCGGGTGTTCCTCTTCTTAACCTTCTCCTTTGCTGCTGCTTCGCGTTTTCTTTTCGCCATTTTTGATCAGATATTGTGTAAACGTGATACAGTTGGGGAGTAACCAAAAGAGCCAAGAATTTGCAACAAGACTTAGACTAGGTGTTGGAGAATCAATATGTAAAGGCCAAAGAGGGATAAAAGATGATGTGTATTAAACCAGTAAAGTGTAAGTGAGGGTGAAAACAAAGGCATAAATCCCAGGGTGTCACTGCATCCTGTCAAGCAACCGGCTGAAACCTTCCACCTGTTCCCATTTCTCGCCTACATACCTGTTTCTAGAGACTATGGATCTCGATCAGAGGTCTTGGATGGAAGTTTGATTTCCTCTTTGAGAGTTGTTTGGGCGGAACTGGTTACACTAGCCCTTGCATAGGTCTAAGATGGGGTTCAAGCGGTCGTCAAGAAAGAGCGAACTGAAGTGAAAGTTACGCAGTTGTCCTGTGCAACGTATTTTACGGTATTTATCATCCCCCACGGTGAATTGTCATACCTCGACTTTCACCGAGCAGGAGCTCCCCTCACCTTGAGCTACCGCGGCCCCTACGTAAGTCCTTATCGCAGTCGTTATCGCAATTGTTACATGCTCGGTTTCCGCATCCGAACGGATCGAACCACCACTTGCAACTTGACAACCACTCGAGCTCTGGAGTAATTGCGTGTTCCTTGTTCATCCCCATCTCTACTTCAACCCTAAGGCTTCCTCCTGGTTGTCCGAATTGCGCTTAACAATGGAAGCGACGGCCCTCAGACGATCCGCGGCTCTCGTAGCTCGCGCCAGCAGCCCCAATGCAATCCGGCCTGCCGTATGCGCCGCCATCAGCAGCACATCACCAACACCACCGACCCAGATCCAGACACAGCAAACAAGACAATTCTCGGCCCTCAACCGCCCACCACCAAACTACCCTGGCCATGTCCCTCTCACTCGCCTCGAGCGCTTCGGCCTCTTCGTCGGCTCAGGCCTCATCTCCCTCGCCGACCCCCGGCGCGGCGGTCCGTTTCGTCCCCGTCCATCTCTCACCACCTAGTCTCCTGTCCAACTGAACTAATCATCCTCTTGATGTTCCCACAGACCTAATAGCCTCCTTCGCCGAAGCCACCGCAACGCCCTACTTCATCTACCGCCTGCGCGACGCCATGCTGTCCCACCCCACAGGGCGCCGCATCCTGCGCCAACGACCGCGCATCACCTCCCAATCTCTCAACATCCCTTACCTGCGTTCCCTGCCGCCCAACACCGTCGGACGAACCTACATCGACTGGCTCGACCGCGAAGGGGTATCCCCTGATACGCGCTCAGCGGTGCGGTACATCGACGACGAGGAGTGCGCCTACGTGATGCAGCGGTACCGCGAGTGCCACGATTTCTACCACGCTTTGACGGGCCTGCCGATCGTTCGGGAGGGCGAGGTGGCGCTAAAGGCGTTTGAGTTTGCGAATACCCTGTTGCCGATGACGGGGTTCAGCGTTTTCGCGGCGTTCACGATGAAGAAGAGCGAGCAGAAGCGGTTTAGGAAGATTTACTTCCCGTGGGCGGTTAAAAATGGATTGCGGGCCAAGGAGGTGATTAACGTCTTTTGGGAGGAGGAGTTGGAGCGGGATGTGAATGATTTGAGGAGGGAGCTGGGCGTGGAACCGCCACCGGATTTGAGGGAGATCAGGAAGCGGGAGAGGGAAGAGAAGAAGAGGAGGAAGGAGATGGAGCGGATGCTGAGTGGGCGCGGGACGGAGGACGTCATCCAAAAGGCGGAGAAGGAAGCTGAAGTGGTGGCGGAACGGGTCAAAGAGATGAAGAATGAGGTGGTTGAGAAGGTTGGCGAAGTTGTTGGGTCTTCGGCTATGAGAGGATAGACGGATCATGGGGCATCGATGGGGACATGAGGGACCCGAGCCCCTCTGTGAAACTAATGTAGAACATAAGTGTATTTCCACCCTCAGCGAATTCATTACGACGCCTCTTTGACCCCATCTCGTTCGTACTCCCAAACTTGAACATGGACTATCGTGTCCTCATGTCATTCATAAGAAAGCGATAATGCCATTAATAACCGTTAGGGCCTTGAAACTCCTTCGTTCCCCCTTCCTCCCAGGTATATCTCTCTGTCTCAACCCATTGTCCCACCTACAAATCAAACAAATCATCATCGTCATCATCCAACCCCCACCCCTTCCTCCTCGTCACTACAATCTTCTCCGCCTCCTTGTTATCCGCCACAGCGTTCAGCAGCTCCTTGAGCTGCTCTTCCGTCACTTTCGAGCGGAGCTGGCCCGTCTGCGCCAGCATCATCAGCCGGTTCTCAATGTCGGTCGCGCGCTCCTCCTTGACGAGTCGGATGCGGCCCAGCCGATCGGCGGCTTCGGGCATGAGGATCTGGTTGAGCATGGCTTTGCGGGCTTCGGCTTCTTGTCTGTTTGTGGGAAGAGAGGAGGTTGTCAGCATTTGCAAAGTAAGAAAGAGGTGGGGGCGGGGGATGGGGATGGGAACAACGGAGAGGCCGTAACTTACTGTCTAGAAGCTTCCTGACCACCTTGCCCACCGGCGCCAGAGGGACCACCGGCCTTGGGACCACCACCGCCGCCGCCTTGCGCCTTGAGCTGTTCAAGACGGGCCTTCCTGATCTGTCCAAAAGTAAAAGGGTTAGTACCTATAAATCGTGTTGTTACGGTATACAGCCATCAAGGTGCCATTCGTGCGCCGCATCTGTGAATGTTGATGCTACTATGGGCTGGCGGTAAAAAGGAGATGGGATGCGCACCTTCTCGAGCTCAGAGTCATCCATCTTTGACGGGTTGATTGGATTCGCGGTAGGTTGGCGACTAGCTTAAGGGTTCGAGAAATGGTTCTTGAGTGTTTGAAGTGTGGTAAAGCGCTTGGTTTGCTGTAGGAGATTTAGGTTGTTGCGATGATGGACGGAAGGGAAGCACGGCGATCGCGGGGTTGCTTGGGGTCTTGAGGGAAGTTTTTAGTGGGGCAGGCATAGCGATAAGTTACGTAGGTAGCGGATCTGATCAGGGTCACAATAGGGGTATCACAACGGTATTGTTTACACAGCAGCATCTAGAATAGTTGCTGGAGGCACCTCGAACACCACAGGATTGGTGACATTCGAAAAGTCAAGACAACGCGGCCAATGCCAGTATAGGGGTACACTTGAGCACAGTATTAGACCGAATGTTCATAATGCCATGCTATTCATATGCAAAACTAAAAATACAGGTATGTACAGGATGATCCGTCTCCAAAAAAAAAACACGACCACCTCCGCCATAACACCTTTTATCGCCATAATTCTGTTTATCCGTCTATATATGCAAGTAAATATTTGTAAAACATCCCGTGATCTATACATCATCTAATTTTGTTGAGAATGTTTTTCAGAGGCATGGGCCAGAGCCTGTCGGGATAATGGGTATACGGCTCCGGAACATGAGGAACAAGTTTCGGCTGATAAGGAACCTCGAACGGAATCTCCCTCTTCCTCCTCTCTGCCAGAACCTTCTGCTTAGCCTTGACGGCTGACCAGATACTGTCAAGAGCGTTCACGGAAAGACCGAGTGTCTTGCCGCGCATGACGAAATAGCCAGTCACATATCCAATATCAGTGTCCAAGCCCCTGGCAGTCAACCTGCGCATGGGACTATCAGAAGTTCCCTTCCTCTTTAACCTGTGGAACACTTCCGACCGCATGAAGGGTAGGGTATTGGCAACGCGGAACTGCTCCAAACCCTTCAGCTCAGGCAAGTGGGAAACCACATCGGCAACCTCGGATAGCAGCTTGTCCATGAGCTGACGAGCGTGTGGGTTCTCAGGGATCTTGTCGTAGGTGGAATCCAGAATTGTCGCCAGAGGATCAGCTACCGCTCGGAACGCCACCGCTGGTAGCTTCAGCTGCAAGAAGTCGTCTGTTCGGTGACCAGTCGCATTGAGGTCCGGAATTGATGTGAGAAGCTTGATCAAGTGCGACCCCCTCCGCTGATACAAGGTGGGCGGGTGCTTCTTGATCACAACGGGCGCGGCCGGGCCGATATTGTCAGACTGAGGGGTGTAGACGGTCAAGAAAAGCCTTCCAGGTCGCACCTCGCCAAACTCAAATGTCTCATCGCCCAACCCCAGACCAGTTGTCATGTGGCCGAGGATGAACACCGGCCGCTGGCTTTCAATGGGGAAGTACGCTTTGCAGATAGCCTCGGCGACGCCCAGTCCCTCCTGGATTAGAACAATGGTCGAGTTGTGGTCAAGTCGGTGCTTGATCTGGCCGAGTGCTTCGACGGTATGCCCAGCTGGCACAGTTACGATGAGGTTGCTGATATGTTCGTCCTTCTGCTTCCGCGGATCATAGCCGTGGGTTGGCGGCGTGAACTGGGCCTTGATCCTGTCACGGACAATGACTTCCTTTTGCCTGTGAAGCTTCAAGCACTTTCCCGCCTTGACCCACCTCTTGAGCAGATTCAATCGGTTGATCATGTAAATCGGCGGTGGTATCGTCTCGGCACCGGCTAGCGTGTGTGCAATGTATCGTCCTTGAATATTGAGGCCCATAACGTGAATTAGATCGGACGGTTTGAACAGATCAGTCCATGGCTTCTTCTCGCCCTCTCTTCGGATCGTCTGTGCCAATTTTTGCTCATCCAACTCCCCCTCGTTCAGCCGATCGAAGAACTCCTTGGTCGGGTTTCGGTATCGTTCCTTGGCGGCTTCTGGTTCGCTCCCACCAATCACAACTGGTTTCGACTCGGTTTTTGTTGGGACATGCGCATCGAAGTTCTTGGGGAGCGGCGCATCCGGCGTAGCCGACAGTGTAGCCGAGCGGGCGTCTGCCTCTGACGAGGCCTGTCGTGTTTGCTGCCGAGGGTACGGCGGGACTTGCACGTGGGTGCCTCGGAAGAGGACGTCGCGGAGGGGAGAGGACGAAGCGACAAAGAGCCGACTCTGAACCTCAGGCTGGATGGAACGGAAACCGCTTGCGCTGGCCCCCCGGCCCACCGAGGTGTTACTGGGACACCATCGTGTGTGCCTGCAGGGTATTCGCCCAAACACCCGCAAGTGCGGTCGACTGCCGGTAAAGGAATACAGGTTGGCGGCTTTCACGGACGACACCGGGAGCTCATGATATGGTATTATCGTGGTGGTGCAAAAACCCCGCCGGAGGACCTGTCGCAAGAGGTCCTGTCAGGATTTATGTCCCGCGCGGGAGCATTGAGGACCGGGGAGGGACCAGGGGCGAGAAGGGTGAAGTGGGTGGCCGGGGAGGAAATCCGGAGGGGTGGTAGTGTTGTTCGAGGTGGTGGTGGTAAGTAGTCGTGATGGTAGTTTGCGGTATAAAGACCACTAGCTGAATTCGGTTGCTGGATGACAATGATTTTGTCAAGACACTTTCCGACCAAATGTTCGATGGCGGCCAAACTTTTTTTTTTCCCGGGAGCGCGCCCGCGGTTGATGCACTGTCACGCTAATCGGCCATGGAAGAGAAACTGCTCTCCCCTGATTGGCTTGCTCGGGCATAGCATGGTCTTGGCATTACACTGTGCAAGGCTGGTCGCATCCATGTGGAGCGCAGGATCTGGGACCAAAAAAGTGCAACTTGAACGGTACGCAACTGTGTGGGGCCGCTTTCCTCATCAAGCAGTCGCATCCAGATTCGCATCTTTGTTCATCAAAACAACACCATCAATATCAACAAACCGCCGCCTCCTCAGCATATCTGGTTTTTTATATTGAACTACTGAACTCTTCCTCTCAGCCAACTTCGAAATTTACAGCATTTACTCAACATTTACCCCACATATATCTCAACCATGGATGTGCCCGACATTACCCCCTCGCTGGAGAAGCTCAACGTCGACCTCGACCAGCTAGAAGCCGCTCTGAAGCCTGTTCTCGGTGATGTCGGTGATGTATCTTCCAAATTGCCACTGTTGGACAAGGCCAAGCTCTACGTTATGGTGACTTATGCCATCGAATCGATCCTCTTTTGTGAGTCAAGCCTAGCACGTCGATGACCAAAGATACGTCTTGCTAACATGATTAAACAGCCTCACTACGTCTGAACGGTGTCGATGCCAAGGAGCATGCCATTTTCACAGAGTTGACCCGCGTCAGGCAGTATTTTGAAAAGATCCAAAATATCGAGAACCCGCCCCAAGAGCGTGAGCAGACGGTCAACAAGGAGGCCGCTGCCCGCTTCATCAGATCTGACTTGGTATAAGTTTTCGCCACGGATCTCGCTGTCAGGGCAATGCTAACAGATCAACAGGCCGATGATGAGGCTATCAAGCAAAAGCTGACGGAGCTGATTGCCAAAGAGAAGGCGAAGGCAGAGGCCAAGGAGGAGAAGAAGCGAGCAGTAGATTCGAGCTCTGAGCCCACTGCCAAGCGCCCCAAGACCAAGGGCAACAAGAAGTGGTGAGAGATGCGCACACTGCCATCTTTATTGAGTTATTGTGCGATGACCTTGACCGCGGCGCAACGTTTTGGCATGGCGCTTTAGGCTCGTGCTAAGAAGCCCGATATATGAGGCATGCCGTGCGTTGTTCCTTTGCGCTTCGCGAGGCCGCGGAAAGGCCAACACGACCCGGAGATCGTTTGCCCGGAAGCAAACCCGCGGCCACCGGAATTTTATGTTGGCCACTTGAGATACCCACCAGCTGGAGTTTCGAACATGAAACCATGACTGGATATTGTCCCAGCATCGATGTGGCGGGACACTGCGTTGTTAGTTTTGAAAAGAGGGACAAATGTGCCCCGGAAACATCAGGATATGCCTCTCGATGGAGGCAACCGGTCGGAGTTAAACACAGAGGGAAGGGCTAGACACCGGAGTAGATGAGTCACGGATAGACAATTTCGAGTTCACGAACCTAAATAATCTCCATAGAACTGAGAAGTTAAGCATCGAAGCCCCTGAAGATAAAACATGCGGCTACAACCCTAACCCTCTGATGGTGGTCACGCGCCCTATAAGCCTCAACAACATGATGCTCTCTCGCCTTCGATTGGCTTCCAGTTTAGCTTCAAGACCGCCCCAAAGGAGCGGCAGAGGCCCCAAACTCACCCAAAAGAGATAGTTAACAGGGGAAAACAGGGGTCCAAGCTCCGAGCTCTCGACTCGGCTTTCAGGGCCTCGGCCGGCGCGGAGGCGTGAGAAGGGCGAGCGGGCGACAGACAGTTCGCAATTGGAGTCGCAACAAATGATGAATGGCAAAATGTCGCCCGGCTGATCATTCCCCACTACTTTTTTGCCGATAGTATGTAGTACCTTTTTATATATCATAGCTGCTTATCCCCATTCCTTCAACGATCATCGTCGCCATCACAACCACACTCATCCACTACCTCAAACCGCCAAAACGTCGGTCGCATTAATCTACGCAACCCAACAACAACCACACCAACAAGAAGACAAAATGCCTCGCCAAAGCCGTGGTTCCGCCCGCCCTTCCGTCCCCGCGCGCAAGCCCGTGGCTCCTACCAACCAGCAGCAGCAGCGTCCTGCTTCCACCTACGCTCCTCCCACCGCTGCTCCCCACGCTCCTCCCGCTGCCGCCGCCGCGCCCGTCTCCCAGGGCCCCGGTCTCTTTGGTCAGATGGCTAGCACTGCTGCGTATGTTTTTACCTTTTTCTCCCCATCCAGCTCCCGGACCCAGTCGCGAAACCCGTACTAACAGACTTGGTATGAAACGAACAGTGGTGTCGCCATCGGCTCCTCCATCGGCCACGCCATCGGAGGCATGTTTTCCGGTGGCGGTTCCTCCGCCGCCCCCGAGGCCGCCGCCGCGCCCGTCCAGGCTCAGGCCGCCGCCGCCCAGAACTCGTCGTGGGGCAACAACTGCTCCGAGGCGACCAAGAGCTTCACCCAGTGCATGGACCAGCACCAGGGCAACATGCAGATTTGCGGCTGGTACCTGGAGCAGCTCAAGGCTTGCCAGGCCGCTGCTAGCCAGTACTAAATACTGAGCTCTTCTTCTGTCTCTTTTGCCTCTCTCTCTCTCTCTTCACTCAGGGGTTGAGGGGGCCTGAGGGTTCGGTAAGAGGAGGGTGAAGATGTGAAGGGCTTGGAAATGGGAGAGAGAAAGAACAGAGAGGGGACGTGTGTGTGTGTACGATTAGTTGAGAGGAGGAGAAAAGCAAGTAGCTTCGTTGCTTGGCTTTGTCGTCTTACCGCGAAGGCGCCGCTCAATTTACGTCTCCCATCCTCTCCAAGAAGCTCGAAGAGGGGTTCACGCAGCATATACCAACAACAACAACATCAAGATACCAGCATTGGAGTTCAGGAATTGGTCTCGAAGATGGTGATATATCATCATTATCATTATAAGGATAACACAAAGAACTGTACAAATACAAGATTTTTGCCTCCCTCTCTGAAGGGATTAAACTTTTTTTGCTTCTTCGCTACGCCTGATGGTGACTACAGTACTCATATGACATCTTCCTTTCTCCTCGTCTATGACTTTCACTCAAGTAGCCCCAAAAATTTCTGTCCCCACTAACTGTCCCCAGCTTGTGACTGCTTAATTATCGTCATCATCATGTCTCGGCTCAAAGTTTGTCTGCTTCTCGTTAGCTATTACCCTCACATCTCCAACAAGAAAAGAGAAAGGGGCTTACTTACCGAGTTTCCATTGTAAAACTGTTGATCGTTCCTCTTCCGCTCCTCATCCCTCCTCTCATCGCCAAAACCCTTAATCCTGCTTCCCGCGCCCCTATTCACAGCCGCACCCGCGCCTCCTCCACCAAGTGATCTCCCACTAGCCCTTTCCGCCCTAGTAGCTTGGTGCTGCTCGCCTCTAACCTCAGAAGCCACCTCCTCTGGCGTAGGACCAGCATTGGGCGGTCCAGAAACACTGAACAGCGTCGAAAAGAACGCCACCACCGTGCTGAAAAAGGCAGACAGGAACCCAATCAACCGCTGGAAGATATTCCCTCCCTCATCCGCCTGAGCCGCCGCAAACCTAACCCTGCCACCGCTCCCCGACTCGCCAGCCGCCGGAACCAAAATCAGTGTCGAGCTCGGCGCCAGCCCCAGCTCTCCAAGCGTCTTCCCCTCCTCTGCTTGCTCGATCCTTCTGCTCGGCTGAGGCGTCAACAGCACCTTGAATGTATACCTCCCCTTCTTGACAGTAAGAGATTCAGCGACAGTAGCCTCAACCCACTCCCTAACCTCCCTGACCGTATCCTTCTCCGCCGAGAATCGAGACCGAATGGTCGACCCGTCCGTCAACCTCACTTGCAACGCACAATGCCCCGTGCTCTTGACTGGCTGGTTACCACGGGGTAGCATCGGACTGGCTGGGGCAAAGGGCAGTCCCTCCCCCTTTTCGTCCTCGTCTTTTCCGCCAGATTCTTTGGTGGCGGCAAGTGCTTCCTTCTCTCGCTGCTTCTCCGACTGCCTTGCTTTGCGAGCGGCTTTGTCGTCTTCGATGGCTTTGAGGATCCGCTGGCGCTCTTCGCGCGCTTCTTGCTGTTTCTTGCGCAGGGCGTCGGCAGCTTGGCGGGCGGGGGAGTTGGGGTCTTCGGCGGCGGCTCGGGCGCGGGCAGCGGCGCGGGCGGCTTCTTCTTGTTGTTTCTTTTGGGCGGCGAGGCGGGCGGCGCGCTCAGTGAGGATGGCTTGGATTCGGGCTTGTTGGGTCGTGTTAGTTGTGAGAGTGGTTGTGGTAGGGGATGATGAAGAGGTGGTTTCGGTGGTCTCGGTGGTTGTAGTGATATCGGTGGGAGGTTGTTGAGAGATTGTGTCCTCGGTAGATGACGTTGCCGGGGCTGTTGTCTCCCCCGCTGATGGTTGAGGTGCTGGATCTGATGGTGCGGCTGCCGGTGAGGCTTGCTCTTGGTTCTGTACTGTCTCAGGTTCCTCCACTGAGGCCGAACCTGTATTAGCAGCTGTCGAAACCGCCTGTTGCTCACCAAGAGCAGCCCCGAGCCTCCTGAGGAATTCCTCCTTCGTGACTCCAGCAGCAATGTACTCCTTGAGTTGCCCGCCCCTACATCATCATTAGCTTAGCAACACACCATACCCTCTCCTTTCGTCTTCAAACCCAAGGTAACTCACCTAAGAACAACCACAGTAGGTTTCTTTGGTAGTGGAAACAACTGAGCCAAATATCCCTCCTCAGTACTGCCCGCAACCAGCTTCAGCACCACGGCGCGGGACTCGAGGAGGGGGGAGATGGCTTCATCCTTGAGGAACTCGGTTTCCCATTGTTGGGATTCGGTGTTGTCATCTGAATGAGGTTAGTATTTGGTCGATTGCGACGGAGTCAGAGTCGGATATAATGACGAAAATGTGGAAGATGAATGTCATGAAAGCCACATGATGTGAAAGGATATGCACAGCTCGGCAATGCGAGAGCAATACGGATCCAGGCAGGAGTAGAAGAGTGATGATAACGAACCAGTAACAAAACAGACCAAACTCCTGGTCTGTTGAATAGCGGCAGCAATGCCTTCTTGGAGGGTACCTGTGAAGAACATGTTGTCTTTCTTGTTGTATGAGTACTCGACAGCAAGATTCAAAGTTGATTGATGAATGAATCAATAGTTAACCAGGTCGATCAATTTCTGGGATTAGTCGAGTAGACTGCGGTGATTCACAGCTATGTGGGATTCCAATGCTATTCACTGAGTGAGCCAGATCCAAGATATAGAATTGGATGACGTGACGAAAAGCCTGCAATGGAGATTGAGTCGAATGACGAGTACGGGACAGCTTGAACTTCAAAGGTTGAGGTTGAATTTGAGGTCGAGGTCGAATGCCAGAAAGGTAGAGGTACACGTTCGTTCCCGCTGACGTATTGGTGTAGCGCCTAGTACCTTAGACATGAGCTATCAATACAGCGTATTCAGAAGTACCTCCAGCTGTAGGTTGACAGTGTCAAGGTCGCTGTCGGGTGTACAGTAGCTCATGGAGGCTGTTAAAGGACACGTTAGCCAATAGCCGGCCGTTCTGCAACCAAGCGGATCCACTTCTCAACCCTCGACGTTACCCGACTTCGACATTGTAACGACATCAACCTCGATGGCTCAAAACTGTCGCTGTATAATATGTTCAAAGGATCTATTCAGAAGCTAGTCGACTTAACGTAGCGTATACAGGACTTCATTTTTCCTCCGGTTTTGAACGGTGATCTTTGCAAATCCGGCCACTTATGCAAAGCCGAAACGAGACTCATCCAAGAACATAGTCAAACAGGTGACGGGTATCATAGCATATCAAGCAAACATAAACCGAGGAAAGGAGAACCACTCATCCAGACACCACCTTAACGCCAGCTTGGTCAAACGAGAAAGGGAGGGGAGCAAATGTGAACACATAATAATCATCATCACCACCGTGAACTGGAAGACTCGAGCCACTTTCACATAGATGCCTTCATCATCAATCACCTCACTCTCACTCACTGTTACAGACAATAACGCCATTGCAATGAGAATGCTAAAACCGCCACAAGAACTTTTTCAAAGAACGCCATCCCATGAAACTCAATTGTTCAAGATTCTCTGCTCAACGACTAAACGCAACCCTTTGCTACTCATTCATGGTCCCTCGCATCGAGCCAGCCTGGTTGTTAATTTCGCCGTTTCCGAAACTCTATTGCTTTGGACGAATTTTCCCTCCTTCATTTCCCGCGAACTGAGAGTAAAGCAAAGTGATCCGTACCCTTCCATACCGAAAGAAAAAAAAAAAGAGAAAGGAAAGACAAGGAAAAAAAGGTGAACCAGCGTCCAAAAGAAATAAGAGAACAAAGACTGGAAAGTAGTAGTAAACCCAAAGAAGGACCATATCGAAGGTTTGTGATCAACTGGCCGGGTAAGCAAGTATCACCATTGGTCGCTCGAGTTGCATCTGGTAATCTGAAAACGGCCGAGTAGTCTAGTTGACGAAGGTGTCCCTGGATGGTTGATAGTCGGTGCTCCAGTCTATCAACCGTTCTGGGTCGTGACCAGATGTCCTTCTCCAAAACTCGGAGTTTGTCGTGCTCCCCAGGATGCTTCAGCGGAAGAGTGTAACGCTGGTCCATTCAGTCGATTCCGCCAGTCTTTGTATTGCCATTGGAGGCACTCATAGTAGCAAGTGCATGGCATAGTCGAGGGTCCGGATGTTGAACGCTATGTGATAGAAATGGAACCATAAGACCCCACGCTGGCATCCTCCTAAAGTCATCGATGTACCAAACATAAAACATAGCCACAGACATATGTGCGTTGAGAAAGTGCCGTGCTGAAACCAAACTGGGGTAATATTGACCTTTTCCATATCAATTCTTTCGAACGGTATCGAAATAGAAGAGGATAGCACATACGAACCGAACCAAGGTGAAAAGGAGGTCCTTGTTGAGCCTGCTTTTAGCCGGGATTCGTCATTCGTCAACGACTACTTGATCGAAACCCATGAGGTGTGTTGCCCAGTAATGTTCATACTTGACAGTTGTCGGTCAACTTTCAAAGTCCGGGAGCTCGGCGTCGTCCCCTTCCTAGAAGCGCATGTTTCCTAGAAGCGCATGTTTTCCGTCTTAAAGCCACGGTTGCCCTGCTGGTTGCTCTACTCCTGGCGAGGGCGCTTGGCCGGATGCGCGTTCTGTCCCCAGCCTTCCGATTGGCCACCGGCGTTGAAGAAGCCTGCATTGAAGGGCTGCATTCCTGGAAAGCCTGTATCATCAGGAGCATGTAAGTATTACATACATGGCAAACACATCCAGACTAATCATGGCGACTTACCTCCCATACCTGGGTTCATCATACCCATACCTGGGTTCATACCACCAGCCATGGGGTTCATGCCGTGCATGGGCATAGGCATGCCTCCCATCATGTTGTTGTTCATTCCGCCGCGACCGCGCATGTTAGGGCCGCCACGCATGTTGCTGCCCATCATGCCGCCGCGCTGGTAACCACCTCCGCCAAAGCCGCCACCATAGCCACTGCCGGCCATGGGGTTGTTGAAGCCGGCATTGTTGTTGTTGAAAGCCATGTTGTTGCCCTGGAAGTTGCGGTTGAAGTTGGGGTTCATACCGCCACGAGGACCGTTGAAACCGCCACGGCCACCACGGAACCCACCGCTAAAGTTGTTGTTCGGGATGAAGTTGCTCTGACCGCGGTTGTCGAAGTTGTTGGGCCCGTTGGGAGCACGGTCACGGATCTCCTTGACAGCACGGTTCGGGGTGTCCTTGGGAAGCGTGCGGAAGGGGTTGACAATCGGGCTGGAGTAAATCACGGAGTGGCGTTTCTGGCCAGGTTGCTGGCCGACCTCGCTCGACAAGTTATCAATCACATGCTTAGTTGCGCTCGCAGCTTGCTGGGAAGTGAATTCAACGTAGGCTTGTCTAAAAGATACAGTTAGCAACATTCGTGATATGACACTCGCGAGCGGTTCCACATACCCCTTGCTCTTGCCGTTGACCTTGTGTTCACTAAATGTAATATCCTTCAGCTCAGACTCGCAGTTCGCCTGGCGCACCCAGCCGCGGATGTCGTCGTCCGTGGTCCACCAGTGGAGATCCGAGATCATAAGGGCAGTAGTAGCGCCCGGATCGACGGGTCGCTCATCGGAACCAGGGGCATCCTTACGCTTCACGCCTTGCTGTCGCTGCTGGGGCGCTTGATTCTGTGATGTTTGGTCCTGGTTGTCATGTGCGCCGGAATCCTCTCCATTATGGTCCTCGTGATAGTCGTGGTGCTGTCCGTCACCATTCTCGGCATGGTCGCCATTGTCATCGTAGGCGTGGTGATCACCGTCACCCTGCTGCTCGCCAGACTGGTCATTGCCAGCATCGGCATAGACGTCGATCTCAAACTCCTCCTCGGCCATTGTGACTGGTCCTTGACAGGCAAGTGACTAAGTTGTGAGACGTGGATGCCTGAGTGTTCAGGTCAACGAGTATGTGCTATCTCTCTGGAAAGCAAGTCTGAATTAAGAACCTGGCTATTGATCAGAAGTACAAGATTGTCTGTAAGGCGAGAACCCCGAATCAGTAGCTGACAAGATAGGGATCTGAAAGAAGTGTAATATAGCCGATACCCATGCGATTTCTGGCTAAGCGTTGGAGAAAGGCAAAGACGACGATACGCAATAACGAACGCGTTACGGAAAGGGAAAGCGGCCATGATGAAGAACGCAAATAACAACAACCAAGGAAATAAGATAGGGAGAGGAAGAAGGAAAGACAGAAAAGGTAGAGTTTGCGAGTACGTACATTCCGATCCCCAATGACGCCGGAAGCTGTTAAAGTTTCAGAAGACAGGAGAGGATGGCCTCGGTAAAAGAGATTGTTTGTTAAGACGGAAGCTCTGTGCTTGCAGTCTTGCGTTGTTCTTTTGCTTGTTTTTCTTCCTTTTCTCTTCTTGTATTCCGAGCAGATCTCAACTTTCCTCCTTCAGATTATGACAGTTCCCCAGAGACGCTTTCCGTGCTTGACTCGCGCAACGCTATGGGACGCGACAACTCGCAGTACCTTGCTCTGGTCCTGTTCGTAATGTGCTGGTCGGCTGGAGGCAAGGAGACCAGAGGAACGGGAGACAGCTGGATGGATGGCAATGGAGATCTGTAACTGAGTTAATGGCAAAGAAACGTCTGGCTGATAACTAGACTTGGGTTCTCGTCGGTGCTGGACGAGAGAGGGCAGTCGAACGAATATGCTGAGGGAGCCAGACGGGTTGGCAAAGGTAGTCGACTGGGGCGAGGTCGAGCCAAAGTGATCGACTGGCTTCGGTTTCTCCCCACGTCGGTCGCCTGCGTCTCTACGGAGCAAACAGGCCTTGGGAGTAGGGCCGAGACCGTGATCGTACTCTGGTGCCGACGGACAGATCTTGAATCCACTGGTGGGCAGAGCGAGTCGAGCCGACCTACGCTAGAGGTTGCTTTGGAGCTTTCCGATGCTGGGTGGACTCGAATTGGTCGCCTGTTGTTGTTGTTGTTGTTGTTGTTGTTGTTGTCGGATTGAATGGAAGAGAAAGGTTCGGTGTTGGAAGGGGAATGGAAGATGGTGCACGGGACAAAAAAGTGCCCTGTTGAACGGGGAGCTTCGCGGCATGCAGTGGACGGGGCTTTGGTCCAACACGGTACACAGCCTGGCAGGTACCTTTGGGGCTCGGGCTGAGGTGCCCGTACGCGACGGCAGTCAGACTCAGAGAGGACCTCGCTGGGGCTCTCCGGCAATGGCCATCCTGCTGTGCCAATGCCCTGGCTGGGAGTGGTCTGGGCTTTGGGGCACGTTCCCGGTACCTGTCTGCTCGCGGCAGGCACCTCCACCGATCACTCTCAATCGATCGCCAGCTGGCGGCCTGGCAGAGTCTAATGTCACGGGTTAGGGTTGGTGTACAAGATCCCCGACGTCATGCCTAGAGGAAGGTATTGCACCACGATGATTCCGCTCGTTTGTCTGTATAGACCTGTCTGGAGTTTCCTAACATCCTGGCCGTCGTGTACTCTTTGATTAATCACATCTCGGATCTGAAGGCTAAACGTTGTACACAATGTTACCCATCCCTCGAGTACCACTCCATCATCAAACCCAGGTATGGAAACCGAGAATACCGGTGGGGAGCACTCCTCACAATTCAAGGCATTTTTCCGTCGGGGGTACGGATTGCTTCCAAAGCTAACCAGCAAAACATCATGTGGAGCACTGCCGTATCCCCAATCAGAAGAAGTCATCATCATCGTCATCATCATCATCCACAAACCCTCGCAACCCACGCCAGTTGAACAAGCCCTCGTCCGGTTGTATCTTTTCGTTAACCGACAAGCCCATTCCCGGCTCGGCCTCGTCAGAATCGTTCTCGTTGTAAGAATGCAAGGTCGCCGTTCCAGCATTCATAGTAGGTCCGTTCCACGACGACGCTAAGATGGAAGGTTAGACGAAAGCCGTAAAGAGCAGGGTATGCAAAGCGAAAAGTTCAAGATAACTCACCAACAAGCAGCGGCGCATTAGGATGCCAACCCACATCCCTGACAAGCGTCATCCACTCTCTCCTCGTCGTCGCTGGCGAGTATCCAGGAATCCTGAGACCCTCGGTGACGCTCTTAACATCAATCTTCGCCGCAATGGTTGCGTCTAGGTTCCAGACATACACAAACCCATCGTAGGACCCTGAGTAGACATAGCGCGAGTTGGTGCTACCAGGAGGCGAGAAGTGACACCGGATCAGTGTTCTCTGCACTTTGTGTCCCCTGAACGTGACCAGCGAGTTATCGTGCGGGTGCGGCTGCCACATGTAGTCGTGATACTCTGCAAAACGGTAATCGAACTGATACCGGCGTCTGGCGGTAGGTCTGGTGGCGTCAAGCTCTTCTACGCGGGCTGTGGACATGGCCATGCGGAGATCCCATAGCTTCATGGATTGATCCTTGCCATTGCTGAGGATGTAGCGCCCGTCACCTTTGCTGTCGATGTATGTGAGGCCTTCCATGTGGCCGACGAATGCGCCCGCCTCACGACGGGAGGACATGCTTCGGGTGTCCCATACTTTGATGGTGCAGTCATCCGATCCGGAGTAGAGAATGTGTGGGGATTGCTTGTCGGCGAAGCAAACGGCGTTTACATCGTTATCGTGGCCCTCCACGTTGTAAAGAGGCTCTCGGCGCTCTATGTCGTAGACAACTATTGAATCGGCACCTGTGCCCGCCACAAGGGTTCGTCCATCGCCCGAAAAGCGGATGGAGAAGATGGGAAAGGCATCCCTCCAGCCTTGACGTACCATTCCACCGGCAAGATCAAGCGTATAGGGGTCACCTGAGTCATTGGGATCCGTGGGGGCGAAGCAAACTTGGCTTGTTAGAGATGTATATGCAAGCCACTTGTTGTCAGGACTTAGGTCCGCATCTGTAAGAGTCCATTGACCAAAGGGGTATCGAACTGTCTTGTAGTGCTTCCAGTTGTACGGGTTGGAAGTGTCGTACATGCGTACTTTGAAGTCCTTGACACAGGCGTAAAAGAAGTTGCCATCATCGGAGAACTGGCCGCAGCACACGGGATCATCGTAATGGATGACCATCTCGGGCTTTGATGAGGGAATCATTTGTTGAGCCATAAGAGCCAGGTTGGTTTTTTGCTCTGTCCTATCCCCCAGGCCCAACTCCCGATCCAGTAACCGCCGAGTAAGTCTTTTCTTCTTGCTATCTGGCTCCCTGAGATCAAAGGCGCCGAAAACACCGGATTCCATGAGCTTCTGACCTTGCTCACTGGGTACTTTGGGAAAGGCGGGAACATAGCCCGGCCTCATCCGTCTGGGCGGTTCCCAGTAGCTGTCATCGTCGTCAATGTCACCCATATGATGACCTTGGATAAGCGCCAACAGTTGTTGCGAACCTAGGTGAGCACGACCGCCGCCTCCTGAAAAGCGAATATTCACCCGTTAGCATACAATTCTTTGGCGTCTTCTTAAGAGGAAACATCCCTGAACGGATGGCCATGACGAGTGAATATCTTACCACGTATTATCTGTAGAATCCTCCTCTCGAGTGCATTTCCAGCGCCATTGAGATCGTCATCGTCGTCCTCTCCATCATCATGGGCGCCCGGTGCTAGTTCGTCAATAACCAACTCAAACTCAAGACCACCACTCCCATCGAAATAGTCTTCGTCATCTTCATCGTCTTCGTCATCGTGCTCATCCTCGTCGTCATAATCATCGTGTTCGCCCTCGGCTGAGTCTGCATGTTCTTGCGCCGGGTGATACATATATCCGGCGTCGTCCGGTTCCCCATGTTCGTGGTGCTCTGCATTCGATTCACCACTTTCCACATTCCCGGGCACACTTCTATGTGAGCTCTCAAACGCGGCATCGCTTACATTACCCCCCTCGGGCGGTTGTGTTATCGGGCTGCTGCTCATGGTTTCCTGTCGCTGTTTGACGTTTGAGTGATAAGCGATGACACCGAGTTGCTAGAAGAGTCTTATGACGGGGATAGCGAGACGGATGTGGTCATTGGTGTAGCTTGAAATGGCTACGACAATGATTGAATATGGGCTATAGTTCACAAGAGAATAGTGAGACGGAAGGTCACATTTACAAAGACGTCGACTGGGGAGGGATGGAGGGGAAATCGGCTTGCTTAGTTCAGCAAGAGCGATGGTCGGCAGCCGTGTCTCCAATGAACTTCCCTTCTGCGGTGTCTTTGGTTCCTTTGCCCGCGCTGCCGGTGACGACATCCCAGCGCATTTATGTCTTTCTCCACTGTGGGGGAAGGTCCTTTGTGACCCCGACCCGCGGGTTTTTTACTGTGCAGTGTAGAGGTAGTGTAGGCCCGGAGATAACGAAGTTTGATGGATAGGGTTAGGGTTTTCTAGGTAGAGGTATGTTGCTGATTCTCTTGTCACACACCCACCTGGCCACCTTGCTTTGAACTCTTGCGATACTTGATATTGAATAAGTGCCTATACTCTTGCTTTTGATTTTTCCATTTGCTCAAGCCAAAGTTATTTGCCCCTAACGGCATGATCGTCCTGACTCATATTTTACCAGGGACCTCGAACGTATAAGACAGTTTAGGTAACTCGACCCCAACGCCAGGATTGAATGTGACACAGAAAAAAGGCACAATCTTTGCCAGCCCTAGGATGAAGACATCGTGGAATTTTTCATTCTTCTCACTTTGCTCACTCACACTTAACCTGTGCAATCCAATGAACAATATCATCCCCGCTCTCGTTGACACCCAACACCAACGCACTCAACTTCCTCCCGTGCCCGCATCCTGAGTCGAGACCGTACGCATATCGGATTCCCTTAAACTTCTTCGGCTTTTTCCTAGTACTTTCAACTTCCAAATCTTTTCCTCCATCTGGTGATCTCTTTTCCACTGTTCCCGTCTCCGTTGCTGCTGCCGTGTCCGGTGATGCTGCCGCCGCCGTCATTGGCGCATTCGTCACCATAGTATTCGTTGTCATCGATATAGTGCTCGGCGCCGAATCATCATCGTCGTCGTCATCATTATCATCATCACTACCCTCATATCCAGTCTCGATTTCCATTTTCACGTCTCCTACGGCGGTAAAGATGACAGTCTGATCCCCTGTTCCGCTAATATGGCGGGCGCTGATTGGGATTGGGCTCTTCCCTGGGTCAATGGTGATGTGTTTGTCGACTTGCAGACCAGAGCGGGCGTCGTGGCCGTAGATGACGACTACGCGATTGGATTCGCTGCTAATTAGATTCTGGTAGCGGTTCCAAGCGCGGGACCAGGGTTCACCTTCGCGGGTGTCGAGAGGAATGGTGGTTATTCGATTATGGGTGATGGCGGTGTCAATGCTTCCATCATTGTTCTTCTTCTCGTCTTGGTTGTCGGTGTTATCGTCAGAGGTTGATGAAGTGGAGCGCTTGTAAACCAGACTTCGCACGTTCATCACTGCCCATGGGTCTTGCTTCTCTAGCGGGAGAGATGGGATGAGGCCCCCGTGGACGACGACAACTTCTTTGGCGTTCCATGGCGCGGTCTTGGCTCCGGAAAGGTGGCCGACTCGGAGGATGATGGGACGAGAGGCAAGCCAGTGAAGCTGAGAGAGGGTGAGGGAGCGGGCGACGGCGATGTGTTCTGGTTTCACCCCCTTGGGCTTTTTTCTTCGTCGTCGTCCTGAGATTTCGACACTATCCTTCGCTTCCTCTTCTTCGGACATTTCCTCATCGTCTTCTCTCACACTATCGCCCTCGTTCTCTGTCTTTTCCCATCCTTTCTTGCCCTGCTTTATGCGACCTAACCACTTCGCGGCCTCGAGCACCTTGTCGTCATGGTTGCCTCTCACGGCACTCGCTCCTATGTCCCTAGCAAATTGCACCAAGCCCTTGCTATCCGGGCCTTTTGTTACTAAATCTCCGGCAAGAATGAGATGATCTGTCGTGTTGTCGAAAGATATTTTGTCCAGAAGAGATCGTAGAGCTGTCGGGCGACCGTGCGTGTCGCCTACAATAACCAAACGTTTGTTCTTGGTAATATCGGAAGATGATGCGGACGGTGGTGAAGGGTTGGTGGTAGATGGGAGATGTTTCTTGGAGAGGTTTGATATTAGAGTTACTGGAGTGTGGACTGCGTCGCCAAGTTCGAGGTCTGAGATAATGGGAACATTGTGCCTATCGCCGTTATCCTGGGTCGTGAGAGCTTGAGGTTGCGAGGGTTCTGTAGCCATCATTAATCAAGTGTTCCAGTGATCTGTCGTGGGTGCTGTTTGGATCGCTCTGGTATTGGAGCTTTGAACAATTAGGCAAAGAATGCTAAATAAAACCATAGAAAACCAATGAAAAGCATCGAAATTAAGATAGTATGGAACAACAAACAAATTGAAGAAAAGAGTGGAGGTGAAGGGCTTGTGAGGAGGCTATACCGCGCCTAGTCGCTCGTAGCAGAAATCCTTAATCGGGGAATGCTACACCTTGTGCAGACGTTTTGCCATATGCACCATCTCAGCTCGCCAACTGGATTGGCTGATAGACCTTGTACTATCCGCAAAGCATTCTCGTTACGATTGAGCAGATGCGGTAAACGCAGTGTGCACTATCGCAATGTGGGACATGTGACGATGAAACATCGGAAGAAAACAAACAGACGCATGATGTGCTTGGTGAATGTGGGGACAGAAATGAGGACCCTTACGGTACGACGTCATATCTGGGAGCTTTTCAGAAGCTTTTGTCGCCGGTCGATGGAAGAGCGACTCTTGGCCTGCGTTATCTGGCCCAAGAAGGTGAATCATGTAGAACGTCAAAGACGCAAGCAATATGAAGCTGGTACCGACAGCGACGGAGCAGCGCCGTCGACAAAAGAAGCGAGCCATGGCTTCGGCGATCATGGAGTTGAGTTTAGGTATCGCATGGTTCTTTTAGGTTGGTTGTAGGATTGAACGTCGTGAGAAGAAAAAAACAAGGTCCCGGTCAGGAAAGATGAAGAGAGGAATTTGCGGGGCTGGTTTAAAATGGAGAAACAAATGGAAACCACCAAGCCTTCAGCAGGCAACAAGAAAAAAGGGAAAGATTCACAATGAAGATATATACAAGACAAATAAGCAGTCCGCTGTAGAGCCAATGTCTCGGGAAGTTCTCGATAGTCTGAACAATAGCCTCTTCAGTTTTTGGGTCATGTGTGACGGAGTGAAGTCCGCCCCTCCATAAATTAGCGTTTGTCTGGGCTAACTCTACTTTGTATGACGAAGAAGCATGGATCTTGCGAACCGGTACACGTACCCGTTTCACGCCTATGTACTTGTCTATACACGTGTAGATGAAAAGCGCCCCAATAGGTGCGCCTTTCATGGAGAGAGTGTGTGTTGGTCTCAACTCTCAGAGATTGTGGACTGACCGTACTCAAGAATCAGACAACTGCGGAGACTGGGGTTCGGGTTTAAGTTGACGATTCCACCGAGTTAAACACTTGGTGTTTATCATTGCGTAATCAGGGGTTGGACATTCGAATGCGTGACTTGTGACCAAACTGATAACTTTCTTTCTTGAACCGGCGGGTCCACTTCGGCAAGCTCAACAAAGTTGTTGGATTGTGAGCCTGGTGTCTTTGAATCGTCGCAACGCAAGCGCAAGGCGGTAGAAGACTGAGGTCAATTTCGCGCAGTGACGAGGCGGCGAGTGGTACAATTCAACCTCCCATTTCGCCGTAAAATCCAAAACGCCTACCAATGCTGATACTTGTATTCCACCCATAGCCTATAGGCCCGAACCGTCGCCTTCTTTTCAATCGTACAGCTGATTATCCTCACTTCCGTGATCTGAACCTGTTGTGGTATGGTGTAGGTGTAATGCCCTTGTATCCGTCGTGTCGGCTCGATCACTTCTTGTTCGCCGCGGCAGCAGCCTGCTCTCTGAACTTCTGGTTCTCCAACTCTCTCCAGTCCGGCTCGGCCGAGTTGTTGCCATCTGTGACGCCCTTGCCGCCAGCAAAGGCGGACTTGCCGGCATACAACTGGTAGCCCTCGCCTGATTGCTCAGTCTCCTGTAGCTTCTGGAAGGTGATGGGCTGGTTGCCGCGGAATCGCTTGCGCATGTCGATCATGCCTCGCCTGCAGTCACCGAAAGCTCTCTTGAACTGCTGGCATTGGGTCGGGAGGGTGTCGACGAGCGGAGGACGGAGGCAGTCGGCGGCCGAGTTTCTGTGAACCATAACACATTCCGACTCCTGGAGGCATTGCGCCAGGGCGGCACCTGGAGGAGGGGGCGCAGTTAGCGGTCTATCTCGACAAAGCAAAACAAAATAACAAAGGGCCATTGGCAACTTACGGATCTCTTTACATGAGCTCGGCATGGTGACTGCGTTCTGCGATGGTTGGACTGGGAAACTGGGGCGGCAAGCGAGGGACGGCGATCGGAACTCCAATGTCCAGAACGGGGCAGAATCCCATCGCTAAGGTGCGCTAGTCGCGGGGCCGAACGGGTTGTTCTGAAAGTGCAGGAGCGTAGGGCACAAAGCGGTCTGTGCACTTACTTACACAAGCAGTGCTCTTCCGAATCTCAGGGGTTCGACAATTCCATTGGTCGGGCATTCAGTTGAGGTTCTTCTTTTTTCGTTTCTTGTCTTCACTCTGAACATTGACATCGCATGCCACGGTTCCCAGCTCAAGCCTCGAGAGATTATACAAAGGCGATGGATGGCCTATCATCCCGTCCGAGTCCATCAAAGTCTTGAATGGCCAAACCTACAGTCAACCAGGAACAAAGTGTGCGGGTACACCAGATCCAAGATCCTCAGCTCTACACTAGGCTTTGTGCACCCATAACCCCAGGAGCCAGGTAAGGACCCCTCCTTGATCGCCAGGTCCTCCATCGCCCACTGACATGGGATCGAACACAGCAACCGGGTTTGGGTCACATCTCGCATGGTTAGTCATCCTCCAATATTCATGCTAAACGGTGCTTGAGAACAAGGAGCCAATGGCCAGACCAAGAACACTTCACGCTCGAGAATGAATCGTTCACATGAAGATTCTTCAGAGTCCTCGCATATTTGCATGTGACCCTGACATTGTGACATCACATTGGTTTAAACTACAGTACCCCTTCTCGATCTTTCGCCGCCTTTTTTTTTCCCCCTCTTCTTCTCCTATCACCAACCGACCAGCAACTTCCTGACCCCATACATTATACTTATATAATAATCTCCTATCAATCGTTGGTGGCACATTTGTCTTGTACCTACTTATACTGCTCCGCACAGGCCAGACCTGGACAGTCCCCATTCATCATCCTATCCTTTTTTTGAGCAGGGACTGTTATAGCACATCTATACCTGCCGATTGCTTCAGCCCCCTATTCTACCTGACCTTGCGCCAATGAGGGTATAGTTGCCGAAAGCCGCCAAAATGCCAGTCCCGTTTCTCGGGCGACTCGATGTGTGAGACATGCCTTTGTTTCCCCTACCTGGCCATCCCGTATTTCGGTGCACTTTGTCTAACGTCTTATCTCGTTTCCAACAGTACCGAGTATGTTGCGCTTATCGGGTCCTTCTTTCTCGTGGGATTCGAGGCCCTCATTCGTGTTCTGACGCTTGCCCTACCTAATACCCTAATAACCCTTTTCTACCGGTTATCGAGACGACTGTTCAACAGATGGACAACACCAGCACAGAAGCGGGCGGAGGAGAGGAGGCAGCGTATGTGACAATCATTCAACTCCTTGAGCCTTTGTCGGTCGTCACGCAAGAAACTAACCCTGTCCGATATGCACAGCCGTCTCTGAAGCCGTCCGAAACGCCTCCGATTTTGTCGATCTCTGCGCCCTATTCGGATACACCGCAGAAGAGCACGTTGTGCAGACTAAGGATGGATATCTGCTCGGTCTGCACCGGTTGGCTTACAAGAAGGGCGAGGAGGATACAAAGGTCAACCGAGGACCGAATAGCATCAAGAAGCGCGTTGTCTACCTACATCACGGTCTGCTGATGAACAGCGAGGTTTGGGTCTGTCTAACAGACGAGCAAAGATGCTTGCCCTTTGTGCTTGTTGAGCGCGGCTTTGATGTCTGGGTACGTTCGTCTGCCCTTACTAAGGCTGGGAAAACAACTGACAAAAGTTCACCTTCCAGTTCGGAAACAACCGCGGCAACAAGTACTCCAAGAAGTCCGTCCACTGTTCGCCCATGTCGCAAAGATTCTGGAACTTCTCGATCGACGAGTTCGCCTTCCACGATATCCCTGACAGCATTAGCTACATTCTGGAGACCACGGGGCAGCCGTCTTTGTCATACATTGGTTTCTCCCAGGGTACAGCCCAAGCTTTTGCTAGTCTGTCCATCCACCCGAAGCTCAATGACCAGGTCAACGTCTTTATCGCTCTTGCTCCAGCCATGTCCCCGGCCGGCCTATCCAACGGCATTGTCGACGCCCTCGTCAAGGCATCACCGCAGGTGTTATTCTTGCTTTTCGGAAGACGCTCTATTCTGAGTTCGGCAACTATGTGGCAATCGATCCTCTACCCACCCATCTTTGCGAAGCTCATCGACATGGGACTCAGCTTTCTCTTCAACTGGAAGACCCAGAACATCAGCACCTCGCAGAAGCTTGCTGCATACCCGCATCTTTACTCCTTCACAAGTACCAAGTCGGTCGTCCACTGGTTCCAGATTATCCGCACCAAGTCCTTCCAAATGTTCGATGACGATGTGCAGCCCCCGCTCATGCTATCCACCAGCAGCAAGTACACCAAGGTCGCCAAGTATCCCACCCGCAACATCAAGACTCCTATTGTCCTCGTCTACGGCGGCATTGATTCGCTCGTAGACATCAAAGTCATGCTTCGCGAACTGCCAACCCAGACGGTGGCCACCGAGATTCCCCATTACGAACACCTTGATTTTCTCTGGGCCCGTGACGTTGACGCCCAAGTCTTCCAGCACGTCTTTGATGCACTCGAAAGTTTCACCGGAGCCGAACACACAAAGGAAGAATACGAACGCTACCGCAGCGCCCGACATGTCAGCCTGAGCGCCAGTAACTCCTTGAGACGCTTCAAGCCCAACAAGAATGGTGATAGCACGGCTGTCGACAGTGACGTCAGCACTGCCGTGGCTGGGAGTGTCCATGATGGCGAGGAGCAATTTATTGATGCCGACGAGCGCCAGGAACGGCTGGATCAGGTCAAAGCACCGCATCAAGCGCGTGAGAGCCCCCTTACGACTTCTGTTGGCAGCCTCAGCAGCACTCCTGGTTCCAAGCGCGGAGGCAATATTCTTAGGAGACCGAACTCGAGGCCGACGAGCCCCATGTATCCCGGGTCCTTGGATACGCGCTTTGAGAACGGCTCGAGAGCCGAGTCGCTGTCGGACAGAAGTCCCGACTCCGAATATGTAGGTGCATTACCTTCAGTCACGCCGCCCAAGAGGACTGGAGCGGGCGCGAGCCAGATGAGTCTGAACTCGCTCAGGGCTGGGAAGGGGATCAGTCTTGGTGCTAGTGAGTCTCCTTGATTCTGCGTGCAAGCGTGCGAGCGTGATTGTATGTTTTTTATGCTTTTGATGAATCTTCTTCTCCCCTTTTTATTATATACGGGGTGTGTGTTGATGCAGGTCGAGTTGCATTATACAAGAGCTGGATACTAATCGCGGAATTTCCTTACGACATTTAGGCAGGGCAGTAGGTGGTGTTACTAGGAGTGGTGCTGAGGTTCCACTTGCTGCTTTGACGGGAGGCAGCTCGGATGAAGCTGGGACGTTAAGGGACTGGAGGAAGAGTCCGAACAAGAGGTAGTACCTTGGGAGCCGGGGCTACAGCCGGAGCGGCAGTGGTTCGTGGAATTTGCTTGGTGCAGGTGACCATGGCTGCCGGGTGGCATACACAGTAGTAGGAATCACGATGTTGAGCATGACGAATGTGGGCAAATAGCAGCGACGTAGAATCGTACAGTATCTCTAATCGTGCATCTCAACTGCCTGATCGCCATGCCATCCTTCTCTCCATGACTCGCCTGCATTCCTCGGCGCTGCTCGCTCTTATAGTCTTCGTCATTGAACAGACGAAAGTCACCGCCGTCAGCAGGTTAATATATTTGGCATATGCTACTCTCAACTTTTGCTGTCGATGATGGGTTTACTACAACACCACATGACAGATAAACACCATACTACCTCTTGCTCGCCGAAATAATTTCCCCTTACTCACTCCGTCTTCTTCGCCCCCTTCACAACCCTCGGCATATCCGGCCCAAACAGCCCCAGTAGATAAGCCGACCTCGTCAGGAACAAGAACATCTACACACGCCTTCGTCAGCATCCGTCATCACTCATTGCCTGTGATCCCAATGCCTTGCCCCCCTCAGACCAAAAAAAAAAACAAGAAAAGAAAGAATTATAAAGAGAATTTGACCCAAAAAAAAAAAAAAAAAAAGCTTCAGAAAGACTCACAGTAACTCCCAAATTCCCCCAAGTCATGGCATTCCACCCGCTCACATCCATCGTCCCCTCCCATCCCAGTGCCTCCGCCGTGATCATCATGTGCCCCAGATCCGCCACCAACAAAGCAATCAGGTAGTTTTTGACGACTCTGATCTCGGAAGAAGAGTACAGCACACCTACCCCGACAAGAAAGGCGAGGAAATACATGTTGCCTAGTTGGCGGGTGGTGGTGCGGCTGGCTGTGGGATAGGCGATTAGAGGTGAAGAGGAGGAGAGTTGTTCGTGGGTGAACCAATCGGGGGAGAGGATGGCGGGGAGAAAGCCGGATAGTCTGCGCGGGGAGGTGTTAGTGTTTCTATGAGAGTAAGATGTGATGAGAGAGGGAGGTATATGCATACAGTGAGAGAGGTTCGAATTTGGTAAAGACGAAGCGTGGGAAAGGGGGTAGTTGGGAGGCCATTTTGTTTATTTTAGGGGTGGGGGAATGTGTACGGGTGACGGTGAGTGTGAGGATGAACAATGCAACAAGCAGCTACACAGGGCCACGCGAGGTATTGCTTTCTGAGCGAAGAAAATGTAAGATGAGAGAGGTGTCGTGATGTAGTCCGACGCTTATATCTATTCTCCTTGTGCCAATGTTTCGTGGACAATAAAACTATCCGTCGCCTCGTCCCCTTGCTGTTGTCCATCAGGGTCCTCCTCTTTTTGATTGTTGTTCAGGGTAGGCAGCAATCAAGCGAGAAGACGAGTGGAACAGCTGCACTTGGCATTTCTTGGATCCAGTCGCTCTAGATCGTATTCTTCCTTTTTGGGACGGGAAGCCTACCAGAATAACCAGAATACACATGTGATCCGCTTTGGTACGTTATTCACTTGCATCGCGCTGGAATAGACGTCGTATCCGTTGCACATATCGAAGTCCGTTTATCATGCGGCATCAATTTACCAGTAGTGCGTTGAAAAATGCCCGAGACTGAGACGCAGCGTCCGGTGAATTCCAAGGTGACAAGAATTAGGTCGACAAGTTAGTCAGGGTTAGGGTTCATCTGGACAACAATCGAAAGGTACCTCGCAGCACGCAGTACATATACTTGTATTTACCCCGTTGGGCAACGCCATAAAATTGTTTTCTCTTCTTCTCCAAAGATTTTCGGTTTCTCCTGAGAGAGCCCACCAAGAGCAAGACAGTTACAAACAGTATCGCTTTGGTTACTGGAGCTTGTGGCGGTGCGCTAGGGTCAAACTGTGACTTCGATCGGATCGGATCGGTAGAGGTACGTCACCCGAGATGACTCTTATCGGCCAACGATGTCTAGCGCGATAAGAATGCCCCACTGATGCTTGCCAGGGAACTTTACAGTTGACGTCTCATAGCTTCAAGCCCGTCACGGCCAACATCAACATCAACATTAGCATCGAACGGTGACCCGACAATTTGCAAACAAGGTTTATAGCTGAGGGGCGCCCCATTCACAACCACTCGCCGTTGCAAAAACTCTTTGCTTCCACTCATCACCGGAAGCAGCCATCGTTCCCTCTCCCAGACGCCAGTAACGCTCACCTTTCCTCATCACATTCGACAATATGGCCAGCAAACAGGAAGACCTCCAGCGGAGGCCCGTCTATCTATACGACATCGACGCCGACATCCTGAACACGATCGCCCTCAAGTCAGATGCGGACATTATAGCCGAGCCAGTCGACAAAACCGCCAAACAGACAACCGATACCACAGCAACTGAGCCCACAGCATCGGGGTCTCAAGCCAGCTGTTCACTATGCAGCCTCAAGTTCGACAATGTCCAGGAACAACGGAGTCACTTGAAGACCGATTTTCACCATTACAACCTAAAACAGAAACTGAACGGCCTCTCGCCAGTAACCGAGGCCAAGTTTGAGGAGCTCGTCAACAATCTCGACGAAAGCATTTCAGGTTCCGACTCTTCAGACAGCGAGGATGAAGAAGAGGGGCAGGACAAGGATTCAAGTATGCTATCTGCCCTCTTGAAGAAGCAAGCCAACATTGTAGGGAAAATGGCAAAAGAGGGTGGCGATGATGATGAGAATGACGGGGACAAAGTAAAGTCGTCAAACGGATCGCAACCATTGCTCTGGTTCAGCTCCCCGAAGTTACCCGAGAACTCTTATTATGGTGTCTACAAAGCCATGTTCACGCAGGAAGAGCTGAAGAAGGAGGACGCTATTGTGGACGCTATCAAGTCCAGGCAACTGGCACCCATCACCATGGGCAAACCGCCAAAGGACGCCAACGACATCCCACCAAATTACACTGGCAAGCATATCTTTATGTGCATGATTGGCGGCGGACACTTTGCCGCGATGGTTGTCTCGCTAAACCCACGGAAGACGAAGCATGGAACAACCGGACCTCTCAACAAGGAAGCCGTCGTCCTAGTGCACAAGACTTTCCACAGATACACCACTCGTCGCAAGCAGGGTGGCTCGCAATCCGCCAACGACAACGCCAAAGGCGCTGCCCACTCAGCCGGTGCTAACCTCCGTCGATACAACGAGCAGGCTCTCGTTGAGGATGTTCGCGGGCTGCTGGCCGAATGGAAGGGACTTATCGACACATCCGATCTGCTCTTCATCCGCGCTACCGGCTTAACTAACAGGAGGACATTGTTCGGCCCTTACGACGGACAGGTCTTACGGGCGAACGACCCCCGTATCCGCGGTTTCCCATTCATGACCCGGAGAGCTACCCAGAACGAGCTGATGCGCGCCTTCATCGAGCTTACCAGGCTGAAAGTACGACAGATCGTCCCCGAGGCAGCCGCTCCGGCTACCGAATCACCGAAGAGACCGAAGAGCCCTAAGCCGGCTGCGGCTTCGAAACCAAAACTTTCAGAAGAAGAGGAGACGCTCCTTTTGCACACCCAACAGATCCAGGCCCTTGTCAAGCGCTCAAAGGTGCCCGCCCTTCTATCCTACCTCAGCACAAACGACATCTCCCTCAAGGATTTCCGCTTTTTCCCAGCAGACCACCACACCCCAACACCCCTTCACCTGGCCGCATCCCAAAACTCGGCGCCGCTCGTAACCGGTCTCCTCACCCGCGCCGGCGCGAACCCTACCATCCCTAACGGCGACGGCAGGACTGCCTTCGAGCTTGCCGGTGACCGTGCCACCCGTGACGCCTTCCGCGTTGCCCGCTCGGAGCTTGGTGAGGGAGCATGGGGTTGGGAAGCCGCCAAGGTCCCCGTCGCGCTATCGCGGGACGAGGCACTGAAGAGGACGGAAAGGGAAAAGAATGAAGCGAAGGAGAAAGAGGACCAGAGAAGGAAGGCTGAGGAGGAGAGGCTGAAAAAGGAGGGACCAAAGGTTGATGCGACGAAGAATGGGAAGAAGGCTGGTGGCAGTGTGTTGGCGGCTGCGATGAAGCTGACGCCGCAGGAAAGAAGGGAAGAGGAGGCGAAGGGGTTGACGCCAGAAATGAAGATGAGGCTGGAGAGGGAGAGGAGAGCGAGGGCGGCGGAGGAGAGGATTAGGCGGCTGCAAGGTGGGCAGTAAGTCTAACATGTGAAGCTGGTGTTAGAGGGGGTGGGTAATATGAGGAAAGATGTCATGGACACTTTGCGATTGCATGTTGGGTATACCAATGTCAAAGCGTTACCGATGTATGACTCAGTTTGAGGTGACTGGAATTGCCTCCCTCCGCCCATCATTATCGGCAGTCTATGGTCAACCAATGAATAATCTATCATGAGCAACTAGATAGGCTTGATTCATAGAACAGGTGAGCAAGCCATGCTATTTTGGGCTGATTTGGCTTATATATAAGATGGGTCCCCAGCCCAAACGTGTCTCAGGGTAAGAAGTAGGGCATTGGGGATGGTCTCAATCATCATTGAAGCAAAAAATGAACATCATGTCTATATTTCGCCCTTGCAAGGCTACTCCTACAACGACAAGCATGAAACTAAAAACAATGCGAAATCTTCCTGGCCTTAAACTACCTGGTGTAAGCTAAACATTACCGTCATAGTTTGTTTTCCTCGAAATATTGCGACGAACAAAACATCAACAGATCGAAGATCACCTATTTTCATTTAACCGAACGTCTGCTCTGTTGGCATTCAACTTGTGTCGCTAATATATTTCAAGAAAAGCCCCTTAAGTCTAGATAACTGGAAGATATACTCCTGTCGAGGTTCCGATCAATAGGTATAGCCATATTTTACAAAGCGTTGAGTGTCAGGTTCCAGCCGTTCTTGGGTTCGCTCTTGTTTTTGCGAATTTACTTCATTGAAGCGTATCTGATGCATCGTAATGGCTAGAAGCACGTTTCCTGGCCTGACTTATCCGAAATCACTGGGGTATCGATTTCTCAAGGATGCAACTGATGAAGTATCTGGAGCAGGGGATTGAATCTCGGTCGGATGCACGATTGAAGACTTGTCTTCGTATCGTCCCATTCACTGAACCCCGTGCCTTTCATCACGCGATAACAAACGGCTGGTGATGGCTCACCGGTTACACTCTCGCTCGAACCACTATATAAAGCCGACTCCTCGAGATTCTAATTCTCCCACTTCGGTTCCTCCTCAACCAAACTCTAGAGCTTGACGCTTTTGATACTCGCCTAGTCCACCAACTGCTACATTACGCACCTTCAACCAACAATTCATCACCAGTCAGCCCTTCACCCACATCACAATGTGTCTCGAAAAGCGCAAGCTCTACACCGTCTGCGGTCACCAATCCTCCGGCATTCGTCTCTGCCATCGACAGCGCGAGATCCCCAATGATCTCGAGGCCTCAGGACCTTCAACCCCAAGCGGCAGCGACACCGGCGCCGCCCTTGCCTCCAAAATCTATCTCTGCTCACGCCTTACTCGCCTCATTTTCCCTGCAACCCAGCCGGTCTCCTGCCGACCACCACATCCCTACTTCACCGAAATCCGCTTCGGCTTTTGTTTTCGCTGTCAGGCTTACTACCGCAGCGCCGGCTTTGCGCCCTCCGAGTCCGACACTCGCGACGACCAGGTCGTTCTTAAGTATTAGAAGTACAAGAACGTCCATGGTTGGAGCGAGCCGGTGGATGCGGAGTGCGTGCCTGGGAAGATTATTTTTGACGGGGGGACGGAGTACGTGGAGGATCCGAGGGTGGGAAGAGGGGAGATTATCATGTTGGGAAGACTTGTGCCCTTTCAAGGGGAGGATGTGGGAGAGGGGATTCAGAAGTTGGAGGATATTAGGTGGAAGACGATAATGTGGGCTGAGGAGGGGAGGAAGAAGAGGGAGTGGCGAGGGGAGCTTGAGGAGAGGGAGAAGGATTGGGAAAAGGAGGAGCAGGCAGAGGAAGAGGAAGTTGGTGAGCGGAGGGATGTGCAGTCTGGGACTGGTTTTCAGCATGATGCCGCTACGGAGGCAGACGAAGCCAACCAAATCACCAACAGAGCGCTGGTCGCGTCGTATCACAACGTCCTGACAAGACTCGCTGCCTCTACTTCCGAGTACCAATCTAACCTTTCCCGTAGCCACAGCGGGGAGACTGATCTCACCCGTGTGGTCAAAGGAGAACACAACAAGGACGAACATGAAAGGTTTCATGTCAACGAAAACATCGTTGCCGAACAGGATGACACGGCTAACATAACCGACGGCCTCCAGCCCGAGTCATCCGCCTTCAGCGTTGAAGACCTATATATCTGCGATTACCACCAACTCTCAGAGATCCTCGAGGAGCGCTCCTCGCAATTCACCAAGTCCAGACCGTCCAAGGAGCTATCATCCAAGCCATCTTCCGGCTCAACTTCCGGACTTACTGCCGCTGGCCAGTCTCCAGTCGTGAAGAAGGATACGCACCTTTCACCGGGGGGCCAAGCAATCATCAATTTTAGCATGCCTTTGACGGGGTCCAGTCGCTTGACGAAGAGTAATCTAGCCCGTCTTCGTGAGACACATGCTTTAGAAGAGGAGGAAAATACGCCGAATGGATATACCAAAGCACCAGTCGCTAACGCAGGCATCGGCGCTAACATTCGGCCGCAGAATACTGCTGCTACACCCTTCTCTGTGGCTGCCGGTATCAACGTCACTAACAGCTTGGGATATTCTAATACCCTCTCAACCTCCCCATCACAAGCCCTTTGCACCCCATCTCGGCACGGGCAAGAACAAACTTCCACTACCTCACAAGTTACCCCCAGTGTTGCTCCAGTCCAATTTTCTTCTCCCAGCATCGCTCCGAGCACTACTCCCGCAGCAAACCCCGTCACGACACACTCAATCCAATCATGGGAAAACTTCACCATTTCCACTCCTTCTCAGTCCATTCAATCATCATGGAGAAAATCATCATCATCATCACGAGCAACAGAGGCAGGCGAGACAGGTGGTGGTGGTGGAAGAAGAAGAACTACGAGAAACATCACACAGCTCGGTCTCAACCAGCTCGTGCTCACCACCACCACCAACTCCAGCCCGAACCCGAGCCTGAGCCCAAACCACGCCGGTGGAAACACGCCCCGCTTGTTAAGACGCACGCCCCGTCTTCAAGCTTTGAATGAGGACATTTATCTCAGACCCGGACCGGAGCAATCTGATGATGGTGATGATGGTGGGTCTGGACTCGGAGCGTCGGTTTTTGCGGAATTGTCTGCGGGGATTGTCGGGAAGGGAGGTAGGGGAGGTGCCGCTGGTAGGGGGGGTGGAAGTGAAAGAGGGAAGGGACAATACCTTGGAAGGGAAAAGGAAGAGAAGGGAAGGAGTTATTCGGCGAGGAACAAAGAAAAGCGATCTTTGCGAGTGTAGGAACAGTCATGTAACCGTGCAGTTCTTGAATTTCAAAGAATGCATGCATCCCTCAGAGGCCGGGGTACAAACAACTCTTTTCCGTCCAGACGCCTTACCGTAGTTGCATGTGCAAAACCATGAGGCGTCGTGATGAGAGTTCTAGGGTTTTGAACTCAGAGCCAAGACAAAATAGAACGGACCGACATGACGGCGGTTGTTGGTTCGCCTTGCCAGCATAAGATGAAAAATCGAGGTTTCTTACCCAACCAACAAGAAACATCACAACGAAAGTGAGGATCCGATTGGATCACCGGATATGCACTCCTTTCGTTGTGGCTTGGTGACTCCTGGCTCTCGATTCAGGTTGACACGATGTCCTTGACTGGCATCCTCATTGGGCTGGAACATTTGGTGAGGAAACATGGAAGTCATGCTGCTGGCCAGACTATTCTGGAAATCTGTGAGAACGAGGACTGTCAACAAGCTTTTCGTGACTGTGCAGCTTTGGTAATCTGGACTTGAGTGATGGGAGTTCATGCTGTGCATATTCTTCGTTTCATCTGCCCCAACTCCATTTTCCATTGCAAACTTGGTCATCGTCATTGAAATGTGTATACTCCACGACTCAAAACCACAATCCAAGTGCTTGAGGAGACCTGCAGAAATGAGTATGAGAGTACTAACCAATCTTGGTATTCAGCACCTCCAGTAGCTTTAGAAAGCATCTTCGGTTTTGTACCACTTCCCACTCTATATGGGCTTTTTGCTCGGCCTCTCGAAGCAACGGAAAATTTGACTCTGTCACTCTGCTATTGAACGTTGCCCCGCGGCTGCTCGCCGTCAGTCTACCGCTGTCACTTCGCCGCCTTCACTGCTGCCGCAGCCGCCGCCGCACAATTATTGGCAGACACCGACATCTTCCTCAAGCTTAGCTCAAAGTGACCGAAGTGATTGGGGTTCGAAGAATTTATATGCGTACATAGATAGGGAAGGGAGCCGCATTCAAGGATACCCCTTATGCGATGAGATAATAGAAAGAATAGCGGGCATCGTTGAGACTGGTGTACATAGTACTGTGCCACTCGTGCGAACTGTATGAAGCCGACGCAAGGTCGATTGGATTGTGCCAACTGCCATTCAATGTAAACTAGAACCAGTCTGTGATCAGTAGTGCACTGCCAGAAAGACAATGTGACGTGGCCCGCAAAACTGGAACATCTCAGTGTCGCGATTTCTCGTCAAGACTTTTGGAGCCGAAGAGAGAGAACATAGGGTTAATTTGCAATGTAAATGAGGTGATGCTGTCTGTGATGGGTGGGTGAAAATGTCTACCTATTTGCCCGCTGAGCAACAGGATACAGATGTAATCAATCAACAAAAATTTCCTTCGGGAGATAACTCAAAGTGTCTTGGCGAAGCATTTTATCACTGTTTCTCCAAAAATGGTCAGTCTTGCGAAAATGTTGGGTAGACATCGTGAAGTGTGGATCCGGAGGGGACTACCCTCGGCTCCGTCGATGTTCGTGGCTGGATTCGGTGTCAAATGTTCCGGTCACTATGACAGCTAGCACACGGGAATTTGCCCGGCCCCGCGAAGAGATGACGGCCCAAATTCCGGTGAGGGGCTCGATTCCGGAAAGCGGCTCAAAGTTATAAACATAGAAAAAGACTGGTTTGGATGTGGAGCACATCTGAAACAAGGGGCCTTTGAAACGACTCCTCTGGAGATCTGCCGTTCATGCCTCACCATCATGTGCGCATTTGACTTGGGAGTCTGGCCGGTTCGAAAAAGGTTTATTTGTTCCTATAAGCCGTCTCGAGACCTATGGCGGGAAAGAAGAGCTTCCAGTTTTTGGTGTTGAGAAGAGTTGCGACGAATGGCTGAATGGCTGAGCAGAATCCGATTCAGTGAGAAGTATGAGATGAGCGTGAAGGTTGTGAAGTGTAAGGGATGCAAAATTTACATCAAAGGTCCAGGAATGGCTGAACACTCGAGGAGTCGAGGACTGTCTGGTTCGAGTGAGTATAGACTGATGAGATTCCAAATCGGATGTCGTCCGAGGGAGAGCAGGGAAGCAAGGACTCGATGACTACCGACAGACCGGAAAACCAATGCGCAGGAAGCTGAATGCCACGAGATTCTCAGTAGACCAAAAGCTTATCTTAGCAAAACATGTGCGGATGTGATGAGCGAAGCCATAGACAGTTCTGAAACCGCCCAAAAGCTCAGCCACCGTCTGCCGAAGAGAAGGTTGAGTTTGGAGGTCTGAGAGTCGACCATTTTGAGGATAGTGTTGAATTTCTAGTCCCTCTCGGGAAACGCGCAGAATGGATGAACATGGGGTGCACCAGGGTTCCATGGGCAGGGGGGGGGTTTGTCCGGCTTGGGTTGCTTTGTGAAGATGCGTAGCTCAGGAGAAGCGACCATTGCCGAGGGCCCGAGATGAAAATGGAGGGGTAATGAGTTGCATTGAGTGTCGCCGTCAACAAGCCTTTTTCTCGTATCCAGAGAAACTAAAAAGCGCCCAGAGTGCCGGAAGCTGTGTTTGCATAAAGTACAGTAATTAGGTAAAGAACCGGAACGTTTGCCGTTGTTTCTGGATTGAGGCTCAAAAGGATGAACAGGAAGGATGCCGACGAGTGTGGGGAGCGTCAGATCTGTAAATCAACGAGTGGAGTGAACTGGAAGCTCAGGGCATCATGCAAGAGGCAATCGTACCTGTCGATCAGTGCTTGAGACCCGCTGAAGGGTTGCTGATTACGGGATCCTTGGCCCTAAAGCTGGAGCGATCAGCAAGTTGCCCACATGCCATCGCATGGCTGTTAGTGTTAGTGTGGTGTCGTTTCGATATGTCAACCTCATCGCAGGTTTTGACTGTGAATAGCATCAAATGTCGACAACTTGACATGAACGAGAGGCAGATGTTCACGTTAGTCAATCCCGTGCTGAGGTCTAGAGGCAGTTGGTGTCTTTGTGTTTAGCCGCATGCTAAAAATGGCAAAAAGTGTCGATAGGTCGCACCCCGTGAACTTTACAGTTGATGACATTTGATTAACGACAGCTGCTGAAGTGTGGAGCAGGCTCATCGACAGCCACCGAGCCACTGTCGCCGGCGTCGCTTTGGCGTTCCAGGTGAGACAACGAGGCGTTGACAGAAGAATCTTGACCGAGCGGGAGAGACAGCAGAGTAGTGGAAAGCGGGCGACTCGCAGTCAAGAAACATGTTTCGGGAAATTGCAGTCCTTCCGTCGTGATCACACAGCATACGGGGCCAAAGCGACGGTTGCCATCCGATCCGGAAGCACACATCATGGGGAGCTCAGCAGATCTCAGAGTGCAAGCCCAGGGTGACTGGAGTCTAGGCTGCTTGCTGTTCATGTCTTATCGGAGCTGGCCCGGGGAATGATTGTTCGCTCGGACGTTATCCGTGCGCGGTGCAATATTACGCTCCACTATTCGGCGGTGGGTTCAAGCCAAGTTCTTTTGTTCAACAACAATCATCGAAGAAGAAGAAACATGCACCTTCTGGCTTACCTTGTCTTCATTTCCACAAAATATGATCTCATCAACGAAGAGAATTGCTGTCGAAATCTAGAATCGAAGCGCCCGAGATGACGCTGTTTGAAGCCGCCGAATAACGTGGGCGCTTGACCTTGGTGCTTGACTATTGGCTACAGAGTAACACCTCTCCTTGGCGTTTTTACTGCCAGTCAGGGGGGGCCGATGGGAAACTCTTGGTGAAAGTTAGTTTCATGTTTCAGCACCACCAAGCCACAGTCAGGTTCCATTCGGTCGGTGGTATCTTGACATCTCGCCCCCTCAGCGATGTATTTTCCGAACAGGATAAAAATTTGACCAGAGCTGGACCAGGGAGGAAATTGTTGGCCGGTAACTCGGACCATATAAAATGACGAGGTTGCCTTCAGCATGGTAGAGTCCATTGATAGTGACAAGACTATCAGATCCCAAGAAGTTCAAAGCGGCCACTAGAGAAAACGTGGGCAGGGTCGGAAGCTGGATCAGGGAACATCAACCGATGCCGGTGATTAATTCGGCAACAGAGCTTGGGTCCAAGGCGGGGTTGCTATCAACGCGAGGAAGCGAACTCAACCGGGGATAGAGAGTGCTGCCGAGATCGGGATAGTGGTGAGATGCACCGCTGTCTATACTACCTGGTCGCTTGCTCTTCGCTTAGAACATCCGAATCCTGGGGAGACAGGCATAGGGCTCCCTCCACTTTTGCTCTCCTTCTGGGCCGAAAGAAGTCCGTGAAGTAAAAATCGTCCTGATCGAGAGGCAATCGGCGAGAACATCAACAATTGGCTGTGGGGGCATTACTGCCCCTCCATCCTTCATTCTGCTAGTGCCTGCAGTAGCGTATGCGGCGTGGCTGAGCAGGTGTTTTTGTTTCAAGATCCAATTCTTCCTCGCTTCAGGTATACCATCCTGGAGATGGCTCAAGTAGTTGGCTGTTGTAATGGTGTACACTAGAGCTCGTGGGGATGACGTACATGCTGGACGCTGGGACACAGACGTTAATCTCAAAATCTGACCAAGATGTCGAAAATTGCCAAAGGTGAGATTGGGCCATGCTGGTCTCTGGCACAGAGGGGTAGCAAGCTAAGAATTGCCTGAGATGAGAACAATATCAAGAAGTTCACCACAGCAGGACGGTCTGACATTTGACAGGCGAGACACTGTAGAAGAAATCTGTCAAAGTCACAGTCAAGTGCCAATATTGCTCTCGCTGGTTGAGGTAGCCATCTTGAAGTTAAGTATCTCTTCTTTCCTGTTTTTGGAGTTTGTCAGGTAATTCTTTCATGCCAATAACCAAACAACAAAAACAGACATGGAAAGAGCAGCGCGCTAACAAGCGATTGGA